GAATTTCATCTTCTGTGATGTTTTCTACCGGTCCTTGTACCGTCTCAGCTACTATGGTAGATGACATTTGGTAGCTTGTAGATGCTATTTTCTCGAAGTGTGCTCTCCATCGTTCGCTTATCTTCTGCGGACTTCTTAAAATTCTTCCGTGTTCGTCTTTGACGTTGTAGAAGTGGCTTGTATCTTCTGTGGCTTTTGCTCTTCTCCTTGTGATTCGGTAAATATCACGCTCACCTTTTCGAGTGTACAGCTTCTTGTAGAAGTCTGCTATGTACGCTTCCTTCGCTTCTCTTACGCTCTTCTTTGCTGCACGTTTTGCATCTACATATTTCTGATGATCGTCTTCTAATCTTGTCTTCTGCCACAGCTGGTATGCAAGCTTCTTACTCTTGATCACAGCTTAAACATCCTCATTCCACCACCAAGTTTCTTTGTTAAGTCTTGGTTTTCTTGGTTTTGTAAGTCCCAGAAGGTTCCCTGCCATCTGATGAACGTTCTTCTTCAGATTCGCCCAGGAACGCTCCGGCTCGTCTTCTAGAAGTGGCAGAGCTGATTTCATAGCAGCTCTGGATCGAGCGTCGTCTTTGAGCTTCCATTACTTAAGGCGTATTCTGTCCTCCGTCATTGCCTTTCTTCGATTCTTGACTGGGATATTCAGATCCAGAATTAGCGGCCGATGTTGTGGTACGCACTCTTCGCTAGGGATCATTTTGCAGTTCTTCACGTACTTGAGCTCCTTAGTCGTACCGAACAGAAGTCTATTTGTGATTTTCGATTTCCGCTGGCATACGTTACTAAGTGATCGCTCTTCTTGATGAATTATGTGTTTGCCAACGCCAATTCATGAGCGGAAACGGACTCCAGAATTCGGTCGCCTTCTCAGATAATCGCCGGGGGCAAGCGGCCATGCGAATTTTGAGCAAGCGGGCACCGGAAAAATAGTTCGCTGATTTTTTGTGGTCCGCTTGCAGAAACTTGGAATAATTTTGGCCAATTTTTAGACGAACGCTCGAAGATCTATCGCGCTTTTTCTATACATAAGTTGCGGCACAGTGGCCGCATTCTCGCGGATTTTCCGCGAGAACATGCAAAATTATTGAGAGCCGCACGGTCCTTTTTGAGGGACCGCACAGCCCCCAGGTACTTTCCGCTGAAAGAAAGTCCCCAAACTTGGGTAATAAAACCATCGATGGCGCCTCTGCCACATAGAGTCTCATCTTTTCTCGGCGTACGCCCGAAACTGCGTAAAAAGAGTCTGGGCGCCTGCTGAAAGTTTGGCCAGCGCTCGCTGAAAGAGATTGTTTGACGAGCGCTTGCAGAAAATTTTGTATTGATGCCCGCTTGCAGAAAACGCAAATACCGCCCGCTGAAGATTTGGCCACGCCCCGAAATCCTGCTGACCGCCTGCAGAAAAGCGCGAGTTTGCGGACCGCCTGCCCCCGGCGATTATCTGAGCGTCTTTCTCTTCCACCGTCCAACCTGCTTGGGGGCGTATGCGGTGACTATTCGAAGAACTCGCTCACCCACATCTAATGTGATGCCCATGAGCCGGTCACTTAATCGATCTACACTTGTTATACTATCTCTTAAAGGCAGTGTCCCGGCAGATTTTGCACCTCCACCTTTTTGCATGTTTTAGGCCTTTCCGCCACGTAGAGTCCGAATTTGAGCTTTGAACGGGCTGAAAAGGCCGATTTTGGGGCGTTTTCCTAATTCCACAAAAGCAGCTTGGACGAGATTTTTAATGGAAAGTTGGGTGAGGTCCTCAGACAAAGATCCTGCCGCCTGTAATTCTTGCTTTGGATAGCATGCATCATGGGGGAGAGCGCTCGTGGGGTCCCGCGCCGAACAGGCGGGGAAGGCCGTCCAAGCGCGCGCCAGTTGGGGTTGCGCGCGCCGGTTCAAGGGCCATTTTCTCGGCACAGGGGGGACACCACCCATCCGGATTGCGCCTGGAGGTCGATGGGGTGACCAGGAACCCCACCACACGTATATCCCCCAGGACCCGAATCTGCCGGGACACTGCCTTCAACCGTTCGGAGATGGCTATTCCGACGCCGTTTCTTTTGCTGCTTGCTCCTTTATATAAAAGCTTGAAGCGTCCCCTATATCGCGTTACTTCTCACCCTTCCATTTGGTCTCTTGGATGCAGGTGATGTCCACTCTACGTCTTCCAAGAGCATCTGCCAGTTCTCGATGTCGCCCTGTAGGAGATCCGACGTTGACGGTGGCCAGTCGAAGAGCAGAGAACTTGAATCGTTGCTTGTTTCCATGATGAGCTAGCTTCTTCAGCCGTCCCCGCTCATCTTGTTGGGACGGTAACCCTCGCTTACTGTTCGCATCTGTCGGGCTCAAATGTGCGTCGCCTCCGGGGAACGCCTTAGCTTTTACTCGAGAATCCTGATGAGACATAAAAGAGCATTGTGATGCGACGGGGTGTCTTCTTCAGCCGGCTTGTCGCTTGCTTTCCTTTGGATCGGCAGCCTGACGCTGGATTCGTGGGCAGAGCTTTGCTAAAGAAATTGGCCCGACGCGGAGCCGAACCTGTGACCTTCCTCGCCGAAGTCAAGGGCACTAACCTCTCGGCCAACTCTGCCTCCGAAAGAAGCGTTAGTATAATCAGAATATCTGGTGAGGTAAGTATTCATAGCCGCATCAGTGGTAGATGATACTTCGGTTGTCACTTTCTCGATTTTTGCCCAAGTTCTTGAATATCGTAAATTGTTCTCATTCTCATTTGTATATACAACTATTTAAACATTAATGGAGACATTAGTGGAGAACCAAAACCCAAACTAAGCTAACCCCTTGTAGAATCGGTGACTAGTCTGCGGAAAATTGGCTGCTAACTTTCCTACAACCAAGTTTCTAATCTTTGCTCGTTGTTATATAATGACTGCTTGCATATCTTTTTCACCTGTCAGGTGCGTCACATGCAACTTGATTTTTCAACATCTCTATGACATAGTTCCAAGTCACTATTATTTGACCATACTTTGGTACCAATGGCGCAAATATTTCTGAGAGACCGCGTCAAAGTCTTTTTTTGTAAGTGGTCGATGTGCCTTGACTAAGGCCTCTGGATTTTTTTAGAATTTTAGGTGTAATTTTTTCCCTTCAATTTTAGGTGTAATTTTGTAATTCTGTAAAAAGGTTCTAAAAATCAAAATTTTGGACCATGAATTCATTGAATTTGTGAACAATACAAGACTAAGAACTTCTGGAACATTTGAAGATTATTCTCATTAGAAACAAGTCACTTCCACAATCTGTTGACTCGTGTAGGTTATTTTTATAGTTTTCACGAATTCGTCCTGCAGAAGGGGGGGGGGGGGAGGGAAGAGGGAGGCGGATCATATTAGGATAGTGAGCAAACTCACTGGACAACTGCTATACTTTTGCGCCCATCTGAAGATCTAAGTCTGTTGTCTGAACCCAAATGTACGACAAAAGTTTGTTATTCACAAATGGGAAGCGAATTAACGACGCAAGAAACTTTATTCATTTCATATCTGCCAAATCAGAGACCTCTTTTAACGAGTGCCCGACTGTGAAGAAGAGCACTCATTTTGATTTCTCGGAAAATCTTACATCAATATCATCTCCTTCAAAATGTGCTCTTTCCTTGTGATCTAGAAAATAGCTTTTAATGCTATTGAGCTCCCTTTTTATGAAAGTATCTTTGAGCGTCAAAGGAACTTTCATAAGTGAATAAATCCTCGCACTATGGAAAACAGATATTTTGATTAGTAGCAATTCTCAGCCTCTTCACAGTGCATACCTTTGTCTCGCTTAAAGGCAGCGTCCAGGCAGATCTGGGGTGTATACAAAGAGGCGCGATTCTTATTGCCAGATGGGCAGCATATAGCACATATTTAGTGTTTTATGAAGTTCCAGAATTACTTGAGACTTTAAAAGAAATACATTAAGTAATTGCACAGATTGTCCGATTTTATTATCTTGAAATCGATTCCAAATGAAGTTGCTGAAGGTCAAAAACCCACAAAAATGAAGTTAGCAACAATTTTGTAAATATTTCAGCCACTTTTCTAGCGAAAGTCGTCAAACTTGTCAAGTGGTTATTTCAAACAGCTGGTAAGCCAATGGACTTTGTCCGGCATTTTTTGAACACTCCCATAGCACGAAACTGGGGTTTTAAGTTGGTGACAGCCAGAAAAATCGCGCCTCTTGACCGTCTCCCACAGATCTGGACTATGGAATCTTACGTGGAAGGTACTTTTGGGGCCCTAACTAAGGCACTGCCAAAGCGGCAGCGCAGGTAGTGCTCTAATGGCTGAGATATTCCCCTTGAAACTGGACCCCGCGATCGTATTCATATGGATTCATGGCAGTTTCGCGCCAGGATCCACGCTTTGCGCCATGAATCTATGCGAAATACGATCGCGGAGGCCAGTTTCGAGGGGAATATCTCAGCCATCAGAGCACTACCTGAGCTGCTGGTTGAGCAGTGGCTTAGTTGGAGCCCCAAAATTACTATCCAAGTGAGATCCCCATGTGTCCAGACTTGCCTGGACGATGCCTTCAATGACAGAAACTGATAAAACAGCAGAAACCCACATTATAGGAAGAAAATTTCTGACTGTTTCATTTGAGTGCAGTAGTCATTCATATTGCGCAAAAAAACTACCATATAATACAGGAGAAATGAATAAGTACATAGTTAGGCATTATCGCTGATACATCGACATTGAAAACAAAATTCTTAATGATTAGCGATAAATTTATTTTCAAGTTTTCTCAATGTAAAATGCTCGTGTGTTAAAATTAAGAGCTTGTACGCTAGTCAGAGTCGCATCTTATCCAGCTCTACTTACGCTCTTACGTTTCTGCTAATTCAGGATTTTTATATTTTGTAGAGTGCGCAGTTTCTTTTTTCAACTACTTTCCAACACCTTTGTGAGCTATCTTCGAGTCGCATGCATCTCCTACCCTCCATGTATCATCCAAATTACCATATTCAGGTAGGGAAACCCATTTACATGCCCTCATCAGCTGGGGGCCTATCAACAACTGTTTCAACGTCAAGTTTCAATCTCAAGGTGAGTTTATTTTTGAATGCAAATGGAAACTACAATCACCTAATGACCTAATCTTAGTCCTTCGTTGTATCCTAGGAACTGCATTAGAGTGCAGAGGAGATTACATTTGCTATAATAACTTCTACAGTATCCATGGCCTTTCGACTTTTAGGAATAAGAATAACAATTTTCGAGGACATTTGCGCGCTAAATTGTTCTTTTAACTCTAAAAAGGATAAATCTGCAAGCACAAAATATCATCAAAGAATTATTAAGCACCTCAATTTAGGTGTTTTGCTGCGTCGGTTCCTCATCTGTGCTTTCTCAATCAACTTCAACAAACCAGTAAGTTAATTTTCAGTGAATAAGCCGTTTCAAAAATAACCCAGAGAGCTAAAAGTGGAGTTGCCCTTTTGGTCCAATATATGAAAAAAGTAATAAGCTTCGTCACTCGCTCTATTAACCATAAATGGAGCAATAGCAAGCGGAACTTAGCTGACATCAAGAATCGAGTTAGGTAATTTGCAATGTCGTTTGCCGTAAACATTAATTCTTATGTTGGATCATAAATCATACACTGCCATAAAAAGCAACAATGCTTAGTCGCCTAGAATGTGGGGAGAAATAAAGAGAAAGGAAATTTTTCACGTTTCCCTTTCTCCTTTACTAATTTCACAAATCTAATAGAATATATATGTATTGATTAGTCGCTTATAGTCTGACAAATTTGCGCAAAAGTGCCGAAGAAGATCCACGATGGCAACAGCGACAAAATCAGATTATAGAAGCACAGATAGAGAAAGAACGACAACTACAGAAGAAAATGCTCAAAATCTTATTACTCGGCAAGTTCATAAATTTTTGAGAGGGAAGCTTTTTTCACTGTTTTCACTTCTTAAGATAGCCCAAGACAAGAATTCCCTTCGCCTGATAATGAAGTCTATTTTCAGGCGGCTCAGGCTCCGGAAAAAGCACTATATTCAAACAAATGAAGTGAGTACTGCGTTATTCTCTGTTTCTCTATATTCCATGACATTTGTGTACATAAATAGCAATGTTTCATTTCAAAAACAAGATATACGGTAAATGGGCAAGCTCAATTCCGTTTGGAGAGGAAAGAAAAGTATCCTAGAATCCTGTATAGGAAGTCTATTCGAAAATTTTGATTTTCTCTCAAAAACCAAGCAGTTTTTGCGAAAGTGATTTTCATAATTCAGCTCTTGAACAGCTCTTTCCAAAGATGTAAAGATTATTGTTCAAATCTAATTTTATATACTATGTTTTAGGTTTTGAACCATATGACATCATATCACGCATTTATTTTCAGAATCTTACACTTAAATGGTTTTACCGATGCCGATTACGTCAATTTTCGATATCTGGTCCATAGCAATGTTGTACAAGCAATAACACAATTGATGACAGCTGCTGAAAGCTTCAAATATTCTCCGGACGATAATGAAAGATTATTGGTGAGTGGTTCGTAAAAAGATCAAAATATCTACTCTTTCTTTGGCAGTGGGAAAGCGTAAAAAATTGACAAAAAGTAAATATCAACATTGGGTAATATTATAAAATCTCCTTTCAGCAAGCCATAGCCTTTTTTCGTGCATACAACGAGCAAGTGAAACCGTCTGAAATCGAGCTAAGCTTGGAATTGTCTCGAGCCATTGCTATAATCTATAGTTCTCAATTCATCAAGAGTACGCTACTAAGGAAAGATGAGATTGAACTGCTAGATTCTGCTGAATAGTGAGCGATTCTTTTTTGAGAGTTATGCATGAAGAGAAGATATCATTTACTTTAGTTTTTTGAATGATTTGGACCGGATTAGTGGAAGTGAATATCGCGCCAATGAGATGGATGTCATAAGAGCTCGGGTTCCGACTTCTGGTATAAACGAAATCGAATTTCCTTACAAGAACGTCATTTTAAGGTAAGATCTGAGGCAGCATCCAGTATCGCCCTGTACGGGAGCCGTGCCAGCGCTGTGCCGGAATCCATGCGGGCTTCTCGTATTGATCGAATGAATGTTCCGACACAGCGCCGGAACGGAGCTGGCACGACTGCTGCAGGCTAATGACAATGCTACTCATTTCCTAAAAAAAAGAAACAAAAATGGGAGGAAAACGCGCTAATATTTATTTTTTTAGGATGGTCGATGTTGGAGGGCAACGTTCAGAGCAACGGAAATGGATTCATTGTTTTGATAATGTCAGTGGAGTTCTATTCATTGCGGACATTTCATCCTATAACTTGATCGAAGACGATGGCGAGACACAGAAAGTAAGATTAATTGTTCTGAATAAATGACGGAATTTTAATCGTAGGGTAGACCTCAGTGAAACATTTGACAGACGACTTTGCAAATTGTTTAGCAGTTCCGCCTGAAAATATCCTTTAAACCACAAAAAACAAGATTTCACATGGCTAGTGGCTGTTCTTGAAGGGCACGATACTCAAGTGATTTTTTTCTTAATTTGGAGAGGAAAAATCATAGCTTTGTAGACTTGACGATAAATATAGTGGTCTTCAGCCGACAATAAACGGAAACAAAAGAATGTGCGCTATTTCTGTTATCTGTGTAATTTTTACGCGCAGGGCTGGTATGTATCAATCGCCCGCCCGGGTAAGTTACTCGGACAGATAGTTTCCGCTTCATAGCTCGGTGCTCTGGGGATCTGTGTTCTTCCATATTTGTTCATCTTTAGGGGGCTCTACTACCCTAATACTGTAGCACAATGAGTAGCAGCACTTTGCTGTATAAGCTGAGATAATTCGTTATTTCTATGATCCCGAGCGGGATCTCCCACTGATCACGCTCATTTTCAAAGTTATTTATATCCGCAAAAACTCAATGAAAACGTCATACAGTTTTGCTGTCGATCTATTACGACAGTGCTACGCATGTTTGTGAAAGAAATAAGTGGAAAATCAAGTTGACAAAATCTTCGATGAACCTGTGCTCGCGAGTTGGGCTTTATCGAAGAACTCAAAACTTGCACATTTCATCTGTTATACTAAAAACATGCGTAGCACTGTCGTAATAGATCGACAGCGAAACTCTATGACGTTTTCATTGAGTTTTTGCAGATATAAATAACTTTGAAAGTGAGCGTGACCAGTGGGAGATCCCGTTCGGGATCATACAAAAAACAAAATATCTCAGCTTACAAAGTAAAGTGCTGCTACTCATTGTGCTACAATATTAGGGTATTAGAGCCTCCTATAGATGAACAAACAAGGAAGAACACTGATCTCCAGAGCACCGAGCTATGAAGCGGAAACTACCTGTCCGGGTAACTTACCCGGATGGGCGATTGATACATACCGGCCCAGATCGCATATGATTTGTCGGCATTCACAGACACAGCATTCTTTTCCGCGCAAATGTTGTCACCACCGCAGGGGCACAATATTGACCGTCAGATTTGCTAGCCCCATCTTTAGATTTCGAAGACAAATTTGCTCGATTTTTCATTCTTGTTTCAGAATCGGCTCAAGTACAGTATGCATCTATTCAAAAGGGTAGCCAACAATCGATGTTTTGGCAAAAGAACGGCTATGATACTCTTCCTCAACAAAATCGACATTTACAAGCGGAAATTGCTGACAACACCGTTGGGAGTGTGCTTCAAAGATTATAAAGGTAACTCTTATGGAATATAACTAAAAACAAGTAGTACATCCAGAACTGGTCAAGAATTCCAAACATTACTTCAAAAAGTTCAGCAAGAACGGCGATGCGGCAGCGTTACGCTAACTTCACTCCTAAGCAAAATCAATAATTACCAGCTGCCTTTGATCCAGCTCCAGTTTTCAAGCTACCGTCGAGTAGATTTCCGCTTAATATAGTATGCTTGTACTGTAGGTGAGATGCGGTTGAATTTGCGCGTGAAGAAATACAATCTTTTTCAACCCAGAGTAGGCTAAACATTTCAAGTGGAGCAGCGCGTCTGCAGCCACTGGCTTAGCGAAATAGATTAGAAGGAGTAGACGCAGACGGCAAAGCGGCGCGAATCGTTGCGAAGCGGACTCCCGCCAATCCGATTTCTGCCTAGACTGAGTTGAAACTTACTATAGCTACGCCTGTGACGCCTTCCAATTGCGCGCGCAGAATGCCGGCATTACTGGCATAGCTAATTATTTACGCGCAAATTTTACCGCATTTCACCTACATACAGTGCAAGCACACTATATTAATCGGAAAATATATCCGACTGTACATGATTTTCAAGAAAATAACCATCTTCTCTATCCATTTACTTACTGATTTCCTCATCCATAATACATCCTGATACTACTCCAAAGCAAATTGATACACTAACCTGTTTATTTCCGCTAATTAAAGCAATTTACAGGAGGACAGGTGTTCGAGGAATCAGCACAGTACGTTCAGGACCGCTTTCAACGTCTTGTTAGTTCAGGTAATCCCTGTACACTCACATAATATTAATGCAACTTTATCACTTCAGAAATTCAACATGAAAAACCTCTATATGTACATTTCACAAATGCCACTGACACAAGGAATATTGATCGAGTTTTTGAATCTTGTGTCGATGTTGTATTCAAGATAAGCATGGAAAAAGTCGGGTTTATGTGAATATCAAAATTGATTGTATCCATAAAATATCAATATAATCTACATATCGACATACACAAAACTTTCCTTCGAAACCCAACCGTATGCACAACGCATATCGCTATACATAGAGTATATATACCCGAGTGAGCTCGACTCAAAAGCTTGATGTAAAGACATACAACCCAAAAGCCCTGCGATTAAAGGCAGAGGACATGTTCCTTGAGACGGCACATGTACAATCTGTGTCAACTACGTGCTCCCTTTATAGCTATGTATCCGCAGCGCGTGGGCATTGCGCAACGATCTCCGATCAATGCGGCAGATTTTAACGCTGAAGCTGTACGTCTTCGAACGCGGCACGGGGCTCTAGCGTTGCACCCAAGTTGACCGGAAAGGGAGTACATCGTTGGCACAGATTGTAGCTCAAAAATTCGCAGTTATTTTTTTTGCATGAATAAACAAGATCAGAATAAAAGGGGTGGTGATGTAGAAAAACAAGACTAGAGTTAGACGAGCGCGATTTGTGCACAAAAAGGAATTCACTTTAAGACTAGGAGACTCACGCATTGCACATATTGTCAGTACAAGTTCGATTGTAGAGTTTGCAAGTTTATACTGATCCATCTAATTTAGGATTATCTGCTACGTGGAAACAAATGAGAACAAGTTCGAGCTTGTTTGGAGGATGTGTGCAAAGCGATTTCGAGTCTCGCAGTCTCAAAATAAAAGATTTAGGAATAAATGATGGAAAACTTAAAGAATAATACTCACTGTTCTTCTGGCAATAGTCACTAATACAAAAGGAGAATTCATGCTAAATGAACAACATCACCTTGGAGAGATACATGAAAACTAAAAACTAGCGAGTGTGCTAACTGTGCTAAAGGAAATGTGAGCTTGCTCAGTTATAGGCTTGATGACATGAGTAAGAGTGATAGATGGCAAAATTCTATATCACGTCATACCCTTGTGGTTCATCCATAAGTGGTGCCATTGATAATCTATCAATGGAACCAACCATAGCAGCAGCTCCTTGATGCTCATTGTGCGTTAGTTCCTCCGGTATCGAATACAATGGGCTGCTAACTAAGCTGCGGGAGGTCGAAAGTCGACGACCTCCTACTATCACAGGTGCTGAGCTTACTGATCGCATCCGTCCAGAAGGTGTTGGAGGACTTTGTTTTGGCCTACGTCCTGATAGGACCGGGCGATCATGCTGCGATGGCTAGAAGACTTGTGTTCAACTTTCAAAGAGAGCAAAAGAAGATTGAAACATCATAAAAAGAACCAAAATGGAACCTGAGTAAGGGGACGATAGCGTCGACGCCAGTTCCTAACGACTACAACATCTGCAATTGCCGACACTGACGAGTCTCGCGAGGCGTATATTGACTGAAAAATCTGGTTTTCTCTTAGACGTTCAAGAAGCGCTTCATTCAAAACTCACTTCCGTGGAATCATTGTTGTAGATGTTGGGCTTTCTTGTCGCACGGAAGACGTAGAGTATTGCCCAAACCGGCATCAAGAAAGAGACAATGTCATAAGGAAACTTCAGCAAAGAATAGCGAAGCTGATCGTGCTTCTGGAAGATATTTTCAATTTTTTTTCCAGCAGAAAAGATAGAGGTGATGAAAACTCACAAAAACACCACTGCAACCTTTCAGATTGTCAGCAAGATAAAACAGACTCATATGGTAGCCTAGATCTGCTAATGCGGATGTCTCAAATGTCCAGAATAGACTGTAATACGTGCACTGATTAGGATCAAAGTAATTAGTAAAGGAACACGAACCAAAACAACTGGCGTCGCTGACTATTGCGTATATTCGGAGCAGCAGATATTCTGCTCATACGATGTAGGATTAGGAAAAATGAACCAACCATAAGTTGTACCATAACAAATTCTCCAGTGGAGAACCACAACCAATATGGAGCTGGAAGAGGAAGGACCTTTGTAAGAACGGACGAAACAAAAGCATAAAAAACCACAATGTCCTCTCCTACTCACCAATCTGTGCCAAAAAAGTGGAAATTATGCACAGCGCACAATTCAAGCGAATGGGATGCTTTTTTGTGTAAGCTAATTTACGATAGGTATGTAATTACGAGTTAAACTATTCTTAACTTTGGGATTCGCAAAAGCACCTGCAAAAAAGTCACGTTGTTCGGACTTTGAGATCGGATTACAGTCGATACAAAAGTATAATTTTTCTATAAAAATGCAGTTTTCTTGATAAGCGATTAATACTGTCTTTTCAAATTCTCTAACATTTTTTACACTAGAAATCAATGCCTAGTCTTGCCATCATATGCTTTACACTGCATTTTTGCGCGAAAAGAAGGCATACCATGACAATCTCTCCAAGGCTCTATTGAGAATACGAGACCAACAACCAAAAACATTGTGAAATAAGTAAACATAAGAAATAGCGCCGAAAAGCATAACCTGGAATATTATGATACAGAATCGAACGCAAAAGAAGCACAAGAAAATCAGATTATTTGTCACTTACCTCCTTCCTGCTACAGAGCTCCAATGCATCATTTTTGATGCAACATCCAAGTAAAAGTAGCATATGATAAGAAGCTCGATCGCTTTAGCATAGCTTATGAATAACGACAACTGAGTTGTCCAACCCCAGAGCCATTCAAATGAACTGAAAGTTAGCTATGAGGTAATTCAACAACGCGGATTGTGAGATAAATTAACTCACCCAGCAATACAATGTACACACATAATGTAGAATAGTAAAAGACGGAGGTGAGAAGGAGATGTTACATGAAGATGGATGATTCTTGCAAATGCTATCAAAGCTGTTCCAATGCCAGCAAGCGCAATAAGAGTGGATCGAAAGCATGCTATAAAAGTCAATACTCAAAAAAGGAACGCAGTTACATGTGTTTTTTTTTTGACGATTTGACAACAAATAAAGATTCTTTATATTTATTTGTTTATTTAGCGAAAAATATCCAATATCACCAGAAAATTCGTGCGCAAGGGTAAACGATGAAAATCACTATTGCTGTTATTATTGCTAAATATTGAATATTGAAAATTAAAAAATTATTATTTGTATTGATTCAATTTTAGCATAGTGAACTTGTAGTACAAGACTAATTGTAAGTGAAACGAGCAGCAGCTGGAAACAGCATCCAGGAAAATAATTTTATGACAAGTTATTCATTTCCTCAAGAAACCTAGGCTTTTCACACAAGGCTGTACCTTTGTGGTTTACATCAAAGCAAAACCTCAGATTTGCCCCCTGGCGTACCGAGTACGAAAAGGATATTCATTTCGGATGTAAAACCGTTTTTGTAACTTACGTCACATGTACCGTTTATCGAACGACAGATTATTGGCATTGCTGTGTAAAATAATTTTGAGACCCCATACCATACAATTACCGTAACTATACTATGAGGCGTCATGTAGAGAATGGACAAGATACTTATCAGCATGCACAAAAAGTATGCAAAGTCGCAGCAAATTTCGAGGCATTAACTTCAAATTATGTACCTAATGTATCCCCACAAAAAGGTCTTTCACCGGGCAAAATAATTAATATTTCTTGACCAGCCTGTAAAAGGATTTTCACGTGAATAATTTTAGCGAATTTTGCAATTCAAAGTTGTGTAAAATGGCATTTAAAGCTAAGAACGCTAATTTTTAAGATCTTTCTGAAGCTCGGTTTCAACACAAGATTGAAATTTCCAAATGAAATGGACATACCAGTGATGATACAAATCGCTCAAACTAACCTATAGAATCCTGAGGTGTGAAACAATTTGCACATAAGACATCTATAGATCTATTAGTTTCAGGAGTAGAACCATTGCTTTCTTGCAAATACCAAGGATCCGTCACGTCCATCTCTGCATCAGTCTAAGTCAATGAAGTGATTTGTAGAGGTAAAGCATAAAAAATCAGCGAAAAAAAATTCAGAGAAAAGGAAAAATATGGTGATGAAGTCAGAAAGTAGCAAAGCACTCGAATGTGAATTCCGTTGCGAAGGGTGATAAAAGAAAACGTTTTACTAGTCGTTTGCGATTTTATGCGACATTTTCTATTCAAACGACCTCCACGGAGATGAATGTGTTCCATCAAACAAAATTTTTCGAAGCTTCCGGTTTCTTTAAGCGAAACAAGAAACAAGAGCTTGAATTTATTAACTTGATCGATAAAACACTAATGCAATTGCCTGATGAGTCATGACCAATGTTTATCTATGATATCAACGAGGCAACAAACAAATCGAATTTGCTATGAGCACATCTGTTGCCACGATGTCATGATATTGAAAAACTGCTTAACTTTGAATTGGTTATAAAAATTCTCAGCAAGCGAAGATCACGCGACAACAGCTCAGGTGACCAATGTTTTGTCGATCAGAAACCTATGTACAGTCGAGTAGATTCAGCGGTAAATATAGTGTGTTTGCACAGAAGGTGAAATGCGGTGAAATTTGCGCGTGAACAAGAAGCCACGCCAGTACTGCGGGTACCTTGCGCGCGCAATTGGCCGGCGTCACAGTCGAAACTATTTCTTCACGCGCAAATTTTACCGCATTTCACCTTCTGTGCAAGCACACTATATTTACCGCTAAATCTACTCGACTGTAGCAATGGGCGCTGATTTGAAGCCTGTGCAAAAACAACAAGCAACCTGCGATATACTTCGAGAACTTCTGGCACAGCTGTTTCGTTTATACACATATCATTCATTCTGTGATTAAACGGGCCTGCAACCGCTTTGCACACATTGTCTACAGGCTTGTTCATGTGGTTGACAAGTTTATGTTTGTGTTCAATCTTGCCCAAGATTATTTGCTACGTGAAAACAGGAGAGAACAAGTTTATACTTGTTAGACGATGTCTGCAAAGCATCACGTCTCTCAGTCATAGGATAAATGATACCATTCATTTTCTGACTAACAAAGGAAGCATCTCTAGTCGAAGTGGCCTTTTTAAATGAGATGTATACCATACTGAAGTGCATAAAATGAATGCTGGTTCCAAATCTGCCTTCCTTATCTGCAGAATGTTTATGGAATGGGAGTTATGAGCGTTTATTGTGGCAAAAAAACGATTTTGCAAGTAAAACAAAAATAGCCGTAGTGCTTTTTCTAGCTCTTCAATGGAGCAGTGACAATCATCAGAGCACTTTATTCAAAAAATACTCTGAAATAAAAAAATACATCATCGTTGCTTTATTTGAGGGCTAGTTAGATTTTAGCAACTCAATTTATCCAGAACGCACATTCAATTCTTCGCTTCAAAAAAAAACGCTTATGAGTCCTCGTCCATAAATGTTCTGCAGATAAGGAAGGCAGGTTTGGAATCAGCGTTTTATGCCCTTTAATATGGTCTACATTCTCATTCAAAAAGACCACTGCGACTAAATAAGCTTCCCTTGTAAGCGGTACCAGCGGAGAGTGTGTTTTAACGCATTTTGGTGTTACTATTAAGAAACGATTAAGGAACGTATTCAAACTTGCGTTGCTTACTCACCAACAAGTTCTTTCACAAATCTTTACAGTAATCCACTAAAATGCGTTACAACACACTTACACAGTTGTTAATCAGATGTAAGCGAAGCGTAGGCGTTTTCTTAGATAGGGAATTTGTTTATTTTTTACGTACGATTATATTTTTCCTGAGAGTTTTTACTCAATGGAAAAGAAAATAAATGAGTTAAAACGCATAATCTAGACTTCTTGCTTTGTTTGCGGACCACTTATAATGTGCAGTCAATCAAAAATTGTGCGAAACATTGGTCAAAAGAGACTAAGACTATTTGACAACTGAGCTGTAGCGTTGAATGCCTTTTGTTTTTCCAGACTATTTAATCAGCCATGCGCCAAATAACAACTTTGAAAGTTCACCTCTTCACACTAAAAACATCAGTGCAAGGACGAACCTGAATAGAGTTTGGTCTAGAGAATCGTGCTGAGAGTTGAACGCTAGCACAGCCTCGCAAGAGATGAAGGCCTTTGTAATGTTCAATCAACAGCTAAGCGAAAGAAATTGATGACTAAGCTGCAAATGACGAAGAACATGACAGACTTTCTAGAACTTTCGCCTGCAGCACCATTCTTTTAACAATCGCCATATTGTCCCTGCCTATGGATTCTATTTTTCAATATTACATCAATGCTCACTTCTAAAAAAGATAGATCCTGCAAAAATACACATAAGACATGACAAATAAGTAAAAAACAGAATCAAAAAACGGGTATGACGTGACGTCAGCTCTAATCAAACTTTATTCTCAGAAAATCGTTGCACCATTTGAAGCGACGTTATCAGCATGACAAGATAAGAACTTTTTCACAGACGGGGAAGTACGGTGACTATAAAATATCACATTTCGGCAATAAATAGGAATTTCAATAAATTATTGTCCGGATAAGGCACGAAGCTGTCGTATAATTGTATCCAACAACTTTTTACGATCTCCTTTATTGATTCCAAAGAATCCAGTGCTCTTCTTTTCAAACTCAATTATTCTGCAAAATAAAATCAGAGAATACGAACCAAGTGAAATTCGATAAGTACTTTTCAAGAAGTTGAGCAGCTGTAGCTGGGCTTACGCGCACGTAAGTTCCGTTTTCCTGGCCATATTCAGCAAGATAAGACGTCCAATCATTGCTCATTACTAGTTCCAACAATTGTCTAGAAAATCACATCTTTTCCTTACTGACTTTGAGTTCAATGTCTGCACTCAAGGAACACATTCTTTGGTCGTACCTCAAGTGTGCAAACGTCATTGGCAAGGTGTTATGATCAAAGCCTGGCACCGGACACCGTGCAGTGAACATTTCACATTGCATTACATCGAGACTGAATTGCTCCAGTGCCCCCATGGAGATTGCACGAATGTCTGGCGATAGCAGCACATCGGACAGTCTTGCCGACAGATGTTTGCAAGTCTGCAAATTAGCGAGTAAGTTCGATAAGCTGGCGTTTAACGTCAGACAAGGTTTTTGATGAACTATGACCACTTCATAGGAACAACGGTGATTTAACTCCATCAATTTGTTTTTTTTTACAACAAACTGTAAATCACACCCAAAAAAAAGACCCACCTGCATACATACGTGTCGAGCCAATACAGAAGGTAGATTAGTGAATGACAGAAAAGTTGTAGAAAGATAACTAATTAGGTCACTTATATAATCCGAAGCATGACCTAAACATTTTCCAAATACAATGGCAATATCATATCGCAATCGTTGATAGAAATTGAGAGAAATAAAACAAGAAGTTGGTCAAAGCTGAGTAATACGGGCAAAGCTCAGAAAGTAAAGACTATAGACTATTCGAAGCACGGTGTACAAAGGGCGGCGCTGGAGTGAATGGAAGTAAAAATTTGTATTTTCGTGAAAGATCATACTGAACTTTGATAAGGAGAGTATAATTAGAAAAAAACCTCAATGCTTCATGAAAAATATGCTGATTCAAAAGATCACACTAGTACACAAAGCGTAACACACTACTACTCACCCGAAGAAGCTGGCAGCTCCCAATCATACTGTGCAAGTTCTATGAAGGCATCAACTTTGTCTCGTATACAATCCTCTATTTGAGCCTCTACCTGTGACAATAAATATTATATTAGAGAAACGAGCGACAAAATGTCATACCTCACTCCTAGCATCTCTGAACACTCGTTCAGTCAGTGATAATTGATGAGCCGTCATTGACACATTCAGCTCATTACCGCTAGTGAGCTTTGTGATATAAAGGCCAAGGGATTCACAGGACTTTTCAAGATATCCAATATTGATTGTGATTTGCACCAACTAAACAGTGCAGCGATATATGTGAGGGAACTATCATGTGATTTCATACCAAAAAGAAACCGATAAATTTGAATTACCTGTACTAAAGATAGTTTGTTCTCCACAAAAGATTTCAAACTACCAGACCAACGAGACAGTAACACATTCGCATACCTGCAACACGCGAACGAAAAATCAGAAGGGAAAAAGAAAAAGAAAAACTAAACGATAAAAATGAAAAACAAAAACGAACTATACCTTCTCACAGTGTCATCCATTTCCGAATTTGAGAGCTGCAGATGTTCCATAAACTTCAGGCAACCTTGTAAATATAGTTTCGCTTTTGAGTAGGCGGAAACCACAAAGCGGGAGTAAGGGAATTTACGAGGAAACGGCTCCTGAAATATTCAAAAATGTTAAATTACACGAATAGTCAGAGTAAGACGGAAAAGAAAGGTTAGAAATACCTGCTCCATGCTCCTTTTACAGAACGGGAACTCTTTAATGACAGCTTTGAACTGTTCTTCGTTCTCCACAACGATTGGCGTGTAATTGTCCTTTTCAAGGTCTCTCTCAAATTGTGCGCAATATTCACTCATTAGAATTTCGTTGTACTGATCTCTGAAAACGAGCAGCAATGATGAGGCATAGTTAGGCATAGCTCAGTCAATTTTACCTGAAATTCTGTAAAAGAGAGTACAGTGGAGCAATTCCGTACCCATACGACTTCATAGTCAGCGCAAAGAGGAGTATAACCTTTTTCATTCGCAGCATCATCTCAACATCGGGACAGCCACCCTACAAACTTCTCAAGAATCAACGAAGTTCACGAAATGTCAAAGCTCGCAAGTGACTGTGATGGCAAGAGTTATGATGATAGCATAAGTTATGAAAAGCAGTAATAGCTACGTAGAAACATGAACTCACGAAACGTGTATTCATGGTGTGCACTATCGTCTTCAATGCATTTTCCCATAGCTGATCTTTATGAGAAGATGTGGCTAGAGTGGGCTCGGTTATGATTATGTGATCTTCGACGACGAAGAAACCAATTATTTCGTCTAGGTAGTCCACGTAATGTTTCAAAGAGTTCATCTGAAACTACTGCTAGCTACTATCATTTCAAGAAGAAGACAGTGATCAACCTTGCTGGGAGGTTCAATTACTAAATCACATTGATCTTTTCGTTGCTGACGATAGAACACATCAAACTCTTCCTTTGCGCCAAGCACATTGAAGATTTGGCAGCACCTGCACATACAAATGGGTCACAAAACATGATGTGAAAGAAAGTCACACAATGATGCCAAAATCTACATACTCTACAACAAAATTAGATATAAAAGCTACAAACCTATGCACAGGAGTGAAATCGATGAGGTCCTGCGCTGACACTTTTTCGTCATCCTAAACGACGAATTAAAAAGTCAAGAACCAATTAGTTGAATGCAAGGATGCACTCACTTCAAAACTATCCGTATTCTGCACAGGAGCGGATCCGTTCGAAGCGCTTTTCTTCACCAATCTACCGTCAGCTGAGACGGCAATTTCCACATCCACGAGCTTCCTGAGTATTAGATGAGTCTTGCGACATCAACATCAAACTGAGCAAATCTTACTGTTTTGCTTCTTGTTGTAATCTCTGTGCTCGCTCTGCTTCACTGACTCCAAAGGAATGTTGTTCGGCGGTCTTCAAGTTTATATTGAAACACGACAATTCCAAAAACTGATGTACCTACACATCTACTCGCATGCCGTCCGATTCTGCAAGCGACCTTCTTGACGTTTTCCAAAAAGTCTTTAAACTCCGAGTATGCCTGAATACGAAGTCCTCATAAAATGTCCGACATTTACCCTCAGGTCTGACCCGTTTATCTATTTATAACGACTCTTGCGATGACTCCACTTTTAAATAAGAAATTCGTAAATTGAAAACAAAAAAACTTTAGAGGCATTTAGCTTCTCCTCGTGCCCTTATCTATGCAATTTTGGAAACCACTCCGATTCCCAATGATTTGCAAGTAGGTAGATCTGGAACGGAACAGACCTTGGCCTTGATTTCATTTCGAACAGGAGCCATTGTCTTAGCCAATATCTGCGTGAATCTGTACTTCTCCACAAGAGCAAGATGAGTGTGCTCCAGCTCTTCAAGAACTTTCAGTGCTTGATAGTACCTGAATGTGACCAAATAAATAATTATGACTTCACTAAGTCAAGAGTACTTCTTAAGCTGCATCAGCTCTTGTAATCTGGCATAGTTCTCCAGCACGGGAAGACATACTGATATCTGATCGATTGCTGTAGATGCATTTTTGACGAGTTTTCTAAAATGTGATAAATACATACACATTCGTAAAAAGCCGGAAGTATGCTCACTCCAAAGATAACGCTTACCTGTATTTGACAATCTCTGCACTTTTCTTGGATATATCCTCACTCGCTGCTTGTATTTGTGCGTTTATAGCAATGGCATCTTGCTACAACCAAAGACCATTACCAAAAGCAATTTTCAGTATAAAAGCGACAGAACCTTGATATCACCGCATCGCTCTTTGAGTAGCAGAAGTTCTTTCATAGAATCAACAAAGCCCTGATAGTGGAAAGCACACACCTAAAGAACTGTCTTGAAGAACCACAGTGAAGCAGAGTTACACAGTTGTCAATACTTCTATCAGAAAAACTTCTTTCCAAAAATTTCGAGCTCCAGCTAACAGGGGTGCAGGGGACGCCTAGACAACCGCACGTTCTCGGGGACACTTCATGAGCTCCTATACCACCACGTTGTTACTTACTTCGATGGAATGAAATTTTGTTGTTTTTCTGTGAAACATCATCTGGAGACATCACATACAGACAAAAGGCATCCATGTAGCCATCTTTTATTCATGGTGCCCAGTGCAACAACATGAACATATGCTCCCCTCAAACGCCCAGCATCCTTGTTTTGTTTTCGGACCAGTGCTGCACATGGTGCAGCATGCGGCTTCATAGTCTTTGTGAATCACAGTGAGTTTTGATCAAAGATAACCAGTTAAAGATCGTTGCGATTCATCGCGACAAGACAACCGTAACAATATCATTGCACGTCGATCTTCTTGCACTTCGGTTGTGATAGTTTTCCAACACGACTAATCGTGATTGGCTATCACAATCGAGATACAAGAAGATCGGCATGCAGTGAACTTGTAACACTTGTCTTGTCGCGATGAACCGCGACGATGAAATCGCGTAATGTAGGCCCAGCCTTTAGAGCACCATAAAACAGTGCTCAAAACGAAAAGAAAGTGAACGAAGAACAAGCGTAAAAGTAGAAAAAGCCCCCCTTACCTTCTGGATATTCTTGTCGTACTGATGTATCCTATGCTCTAGAGCACGGCTGAACTTATGCACATCGCCGCAGTCGTATATGGCCCTTGAGAACAGAGTTCTAGTAGAAAGTATGTAAAGACAAGAGTCCGTACCTCAAAACAAGACCTATGCTTCCTGAGTCTGTCGTTTCCAGTTCGTAGAGAAAAAACTCTTGCTCAGCACTCATTTCGGGAACTCAAAGTGTACTTTTGACAAAAACTGGCATTTTATAACTGAATCAAAAACCTCACATGGTTGGTAGCTGGTGGAAGCAGTATCACTGCTTTCACCAGCTGTATCCTTTGTGCTCGCCACCGACGAGACATCCATGCTTGAGGAAGCCAGCCCTTGAAAACAGGCTCAGGATTATTAGACTGTCGCTCTTGACTGATATTGCACACAAAGGCTGAATTGTTTGGAATCCGACTGCTCAAGTATGCGAGAGAGGACTATGAGTATTCCCATTATGACTGGGTTCAAACTGATCCGTAAGTTCCACAGTGCCAGCAGCGCGCTCGAATTGTTGTGTTGGAACTGTTCCGGAATTTACGGATCAGTATGAACCCAGCCTATAGGGCACAATTAGATATTCATAAGACTGTGCAGTTAGAGATAGGGGTTCTATGCCTCTTGAAACTTTTGCATCGCTTAGGCACAAGTATATGAATCAAAAGCATAATATGAGAGAACAAAATGTTCCTCAAAAAGTGAGTGTGCAGTCATAATAAGGAGGAAGCTGAGATCAAATCATATGGAACCTTTGGACCTTCCTACGACTCAAGCATCTGAGCAACCCTAACGATACCAGCGTTTTGATCGTCATTTTAACAGCGCTATCACTTGAAGGATAAACCGCGAAATTGAAATCTTTTGCAACTTTCTAGAAGGGTTATTTTACACGTTAGTCACAAAACATCATATTGGTTTCGCAGGGTGGCGCCGCCGTGCTTATGGTCGATGTCGATATACTGTAAGTGGGTCGAAATCCCACTTGTTCAAAAACTAAACGGTATTTCAGTTCCTATACCATGTCAGCAAGCGCCCAGAACTAAACTTTTCGCAAAGTTGCAATAATTATATGGGTCTTACTTAATCGAGCAAAAAGGGGTTCTTAAACAATCAAGCAATGTTGTATTCGTAGTCACCATGCTGGAAGAAGTCAACTCCGCAACACAACGTTTAGAGCACGGGTAAAACTTCCATCTGCCGATCCACCCCAAGCAAAAAAAAAACTGCGCCACCGTCGTATTCGAGTCAGCATGTCAGATATCTCACCCCTCCCTGCTGAGGTAAGATATCCTGAAGTTTCGGTTTACTCAAAAAAAAAGCGAGTAACGATTCAAGCCCAAAAAATCAAAACATTGAGAACCCTAAGAATCTGCGCTCTAAATTATAGCGCAATTTACAGCGGACGCGGAGCGGTGGCAAAATTAGAGCGCCGAAGTGTGACAAAAGCTACGCGGCGTCGGTGGTGTAAGTAGGAAATCTCATGCAAATTGTATTCGTCTCCCTTTGCTACCTCACCGGCATGCAAATAATAAGTTGCGTTCTATCCCGTGCATGAAAAGACATTACATTTCATTCTGATACTCCTATGTCCCCATGCTTACTTATCGTTAGTAACGAAGTTCTGTTATAATACTCCTGTCATTCCTGTCATGGTTTTTTTCTTGTCAAAATCACTTCTAACATGCCTTTTGGTACGAATCAGCCAAACAAACAACTTGAGTTTTGCAGAGACACTAGCATGCAGACACAGGCCGATCCACGACGACCAAACAGAATCGTAAGGTATGTCAGCATGAAGCTTTTTTCTCCCATCTTTGTGTATTATGTTTTCCTTCGTCCACTTTCATTTTCGCAATTTTAAAAGTTTCAGGTTCAAAGCAGCAGATCCACAGGCCAACAATGCCATCAGTGATGATCCTCTTCCCGAGTACATGAACGTTTTGGGCATGATTTTCAGCATGTGTGGATTGATGATGAGGGTAAGTTTATGTTTTGCCCTGTACCTTGAACATAGTATAGGATGTCACAAAATGTATCAAAGGTTTGCTTGCTGATATTCCCGCCTTATCAGCTTTCGAGAGCTCCCAGTTAGTCTATCGTGAGGTGGCCTCAACTTTTACGATGCCAAACATTCCGCTAATTTGAATTCGCGTTAGGGACTTCAGCACACTTCGTCATTGCAAATCAGCTGCTATCTTAGAAGATTTCTAAAATATTTGAAGACTTTCATGGTTAAGTTTTAGACTCGCTGATACTAGTATATGATTTTATACGTTTGTGGAGCGGGTTTGGTATAATGAGGTGGGTGGAGGACTATATGTCGCCGAAAAAGGGCGGTCCCCGCGGTCATTTGCGACAAATACGCACCCTTGTACATGCACGGACATGCGTTCCTGCAGGGAATCCACGCGGGACTCTTCCAAATTCGGCGACATATGGTCCTCCACCCTAATGAGGTTCCTTTGTAATCACTGTAATGCTGTCGCGATATGCCCGTTCTAACTTTTGAACTAGAAATTACGGTTATGAGAAAAGTTTATGCTGAATTAGCGCTAACTACAATGTTGAAGAGCGAAGGGTAACTCATATCATACAGCAAGTCCAAGTTGAAGTTACCCGGCACCTGAAGTTTCGCAAACTTTTCATACAGAAAGATATTAGACATTCGACAGTTTTTGCGAAACCCAGTATCGGTGTAGACCATCTTTAGATGAAATGGTGTGCTTGGATGGCATTGTTGTGCTCTTGCGTTAGTTTTGCAAACACTCGATCATCTGACGATGCAAAACAGATTGTGAGCAGCTTTATGTGAGTTTTGATGAAAACCTTGCTCGTTGCTGTGTAATTTTTTCAACTCATTGCGTTAAGGCTTTCTGTTTCGGCTGTCGTGATGAGCTATCTGCAGAATCCCCAACCAATCATTCCGCCTTGGGCTTCATTCATGTGATAGGCAAATTTGCCATCGTATTCTGCCTACTTATATTCGGTATGTGCACTGGTTAATCTATTTATGTCCTACATCGCTCGATAAATAATATAAAAGACGTATTTTTTCTTTATTGCTGTTTATCGGTACGTTAAGTTCAAAATCTGGAAAGGAAATACCAAGCACATTGTATGTTGCATGAGATAATCCCCAATAAAAATAATGGCAGCGATATACATAAGCATATAAATTCAGAACAGATTTGTAAGAAAATGCTGTGTATTAAGGTCGGTGAAATTTGATGAAGAAAAGTGAAGTGGAGATGATTAAAAGGCAATCATTTCCAAGACAATGTTGGGTATCACAAAGTAGTTGATTTCAGTAGCTATTAGTGTACACTTACGGAAGGAAATATCAACTTATCAATATATCTCGTATATAATTTCCTGCGAAACTAATCTGTGCTGGTTTTTTACTGCTACGGTTCAACAACAAATTTAAGCTGCCGCATCTGTTTCTACAGTTTTTATTGGCTGACGGTGGGCTTCATACTTGTCCAGCAGTATATCAGTCTTTTCCCATAGTGCGTCCTGTAGAGTTAGATCTCGCGCAAGCTCTGCATCTAGATTCTTCTCGTCATCCCAGCAAGACTCCCAATACTTGCCACTTAGCTAAATTTTAATATAATGAAGTGCACTTTTAATGCATTGATTAATTACTCACATAAAGGACTTCAGGTGATGCAGCGCAATAGACAGTGGTGGCAGCTCCTTGCTCAAGAGATTTTGTAAACGGTTTCGAGACGACATTCCAAAATTTCCCAAGGAATCCGTAACTTCGTGAGATTTCTGAAAATTTGACCTTCTCTGTAGAGCTTTTGACAATGATGAAATTTGTGCAGTTCTCTGATTTTCGTAACATACCTGTGCCTATCATCGTTCCTGGGTGTAACATATATACAGAGATTCCATGTCTGTTCTCGTCGCGGTGAAGCTTCATACCCATAAGAACATTGCAAAGCTTCGAACACGCATAGTGCCTTAAATTCTCGTTTTCAGCGCAATAGAAAATAAGATTCATCAATCTAGAATCTACACCTGTATCCAAACTCGGTGCACTCTGTTGGACAGAGCTTCGTCAGTTTCTCTTGAAACGACATATCGTCGGGTTTCAACTTAATTAAATTTTCATAATGATATTAACGACTTGACAGATGCTCTCCTTTCAGAAAGAACTTACCCCTGTATGATTATGTGAATGCGATGACACAATGACAATCCTGGCATGTGATTGCCGGAGAACTGGAAGAAGTTCCCGGACTAGGTATTGATGTGCGACATGATTTACACCAAATGAGCTTTCCAGACCATCGATAGTCGTTTTTTGTACAGGTGAAAATACACCAGCATTGAGAATTAGTGCATGAATGGGCCTGAATTGCTCGTTTTTGTGAAAATTCGATTATAAATAATTGGTAAAATTGTGAAACAAGTTTAGCTTACCAATGCTTGCTTTTATACTCGTTCGCTGCTGCTTGTACTGACTGGAGCGAGCTGAGGTCACACATGATCATGTCGATCTTCGCATCAGGCTGTAATGTGATGATGAATTTTTGTTATCAAGGATTATTGTGAAATTGCGCATAGCGTTTGAAAAATTTTATTCCCTAGGTGTACGCAGTTAGTTGGCAGCTATAGGTAATTCATCGACCGCAGGGATTGGCCGTGTTTGCGGTAGCCGCAACGCGCTGTCAGCTTGTACAATGGCGATTTGTAGTGGGACAAGCGTTCCAATTGCGTTACTTGTTCTGCAGTTACGGACAATCCCTGCGGTTGATGTATTACCAATGCAACCAATTTTCGTAACAAAATTAAAGAATTTTTTAATACGAAATATATACACATAAAAACTATCAAGGACACTAAGTTCCAATAGCTTACTTTCTCTGCTAGTATCCTCTCTTTCAAGGCATCTGACTTGACGATATTTCTATTGGCCATGACAACATGACCACCTTTCAAAGCAAGTGCTCTTGCCGTTTCAGTACCGATTCCTGAAGTTGTTCCCGTAATAAGAAACGTCCTTCCCGTGAGATCGACGTCTTCAAGAACCTGAAAGCTCAAAATTCAGCAAAGATATCGGAATGTAGAGTATGTTAACCTGAAGGGCTGTTGTTCGAGGTCCATATTTTCTTTTGCGTTCGCGGTTACCAAAGGCTTCGCTGGGTGAGATCGGCGTATTGCTTACGAGATCAGTAGAGTTCATCGCAGTGATAATGTAGGAGCCACGTCGAGAAGCTGGTGAACCTAAAAGCAAAATTTGGTATATATTCACGAAGGAAGATAAACAGAAGCAGTGATAAATAAAGGAATACATCGTACGCAAAAACTGGAGCTCGTTCGATCAAAACAGTGCATGTTTGATAGATAGACTAGACGTTCAAAGGAATGAAAGAGCGCTTGTTTTGGGAGACGCCGGCGGGTCCGCAGTGACACATATGTCTGCGTGCAATAAATCGTCTATGGTACGGCAAACATAAAGCAAAAGTGATAATTGCTAAAAATCAGGCATGGATAGATGAGCTGATTTTCAAGCTACAGCCTCACCTCTGACTTTGCGAAGTCCAGAAGAATTACTTTTCTAACGAATTTCACAACTTACCGAAAAAATCGCCTACGGAGTGACCAATAATCGCCGGCGATGTCATTGTGAGGGTGAATATGCTGGCAAGAATGAAACACTTTCACTTTGCGCATTTCCACCTCCGTCTACAGGGGGAGGTGGCGAATGGCATCAATCAACATCTCAGCAGGATATCACTCCAACAACAACAAGAGCCTACTGATTTATGAAGCTGCTACATTACGCTTAGGCAAAAATATCAAGAAGAACTGTTATTTGCACCCTAATCGTAGGGAGCCAAAAAATTTGAACTGAACAATTCTTTGCTTTAGAATTAAAAGGAAAATTGCGATCACAATGGGGAACTCAGATTTGCCCAAAAGTCATTCAATCGGCGGAACGTTCTGTTATAGCCAGTCGCTGACCAATTAGCTCTCGCTACGAAACCGAAAGTATTGCCACCTAATTGCTGCTTCTCTCGAATATAGAGGTTAAAAAGTGCATGAAGAAATGGCATGTGACCCCAATTTTGAATCAATGCAAATGAAAAGTTTTTCAAAATCACCGAATTTGGTCTGTATGTCAAGAGGCACTCTTCTTGAGATGTCAAATTTCTATGTATCTACTCCGACTAAGAGACGCGAGCACGCTTTGCGTACGTTTGATTAATAAGTTCATGAGGAGTTCTAACGCGTTTTGATTGAGTTACTATCAGCTTCTTGGAAGAACATATTCGCGCTCGTTCGCTTGAGTTTGAACATGTTCCATCGCGAATTTTTTATAGTAATTCACCAAAACGCGTCAAAACGCAATTATAGACTTGTTAATCAGACTTACGCCAAGCATGCGCCTGTCTCTTAGTCAGAGAATGAATGAAAGCACTTCAAAATCACAAGCTATAGCGGATAGAAATATGCGTTGTTCAGTCTTATATTCTAAAGATAAAACCTTAATATAAATGTAAAAGGTCAAAAACCACTGAAGTCGCAACTAGAAGTAAATTTGTATGTATTTTGGTCAATTTTTCGCAATCGTAAAACCCATCAAGCGGTAACTTCGAACAACTAGTAAGCCAAAGCACCTTGTCCGGTATTTTTCGAAGACAACCACACCGTTAAACTGATGTTTTGAGTTGATGACCTCTTAGAAATCGCGCCTCTTACCGTCTCCAACCGAATTTTGTACTAAGCGGTGGAAAGGAGTGACAGAATACTTTCTAGAAAAGGCTAGAATTGATGTTGGGCAAGTTTTTCGACGATGAAATTTTGAGCACACAGGCCAAAAGAATGACCCAGAGTGTGACTTAGCGCGGTTGAGTCGCGCAAAACGACGTTTCTTCGCGGTCGATCGCCGACGAAAACAGTAGATAAGCCTTATCTGGTAACAAACCTCAAACTCAAGGATGATTTGTGGGATAAAAAGGAAGAAAGATTAGACATCTCAGGAGGGTCCGACAGCGCATTTCAGCAGTTCATTTACAGCTCTAATTTGACCTAAGGAAGTCTTATATAAAAGTGAATCTCCGGTAAGATACCTTGCGCTTTGCTCGATTGCCCACAGTATGAACCGAGGATTCGATTGTAATTTACCTCATCGTATTGTCACCTGAACGGACATCTGACCTTTGCAACCATAAAAACGACTTTAGGTTTTTTTTCGTCCCCGGACGTTTCCATACTGCACAAACCTTTCACAGTTTCACTGAGTTTCCTTCACGACATATGCCCACTTCAAAATTACCCAGCTTTTGATAGCAACGCTCGTCCATTTACCGTACAATTCTGGGCAGCAGGCATCAGATACGCAATATCGCGTTCTCACGCACAATCACGTACAAATGTGCATGATGACTTTGAATGCCAAATTTTTCCATTTTTTTGTGCTTTCTCTTTGGCTTTGTAATAGCAAATATCATGTTTGCTAAAACACTACACTTTCCACCTGTATATTGTATGTGTTTTTTCTTTGATATGAGTATGATTTGCAGGCCACACAATGTCTGAGAGGGTGGAAGCATATCTCGCAAAAAATAAAAAAGCAGCTAAAGGTGATGTCGCTGATATCTGGCTGAAATTTGAGCAACTTTACGCCAGAAAGTGAGTCTTTCAGTTAGAAAATCATGAAAATTGACAATTTTCTGCTTTTGAGATGGCAAATCATCACATTGACGGGATTACTTCTTCCAGATTATGGCATCAGCTGACCCAGGAAATTCGTGCCGCTCAAGCGAATGCAGCTTTCATTGCGAATCTCAATCAAAAGGAATTCTATGACGGGTTTGTACTTCTTTCGCACTCGAATGATCTCCAAAACTAAGGTTTCCTTTCCATCATAATGATGATCTCCAGGTTCATTTCTGAGTTTGAACATCGTATCAATCCACTACAGCTTGTTGAGATAGTTTTACCTATCGCGAGATACATTTTTGATCAAAGTTAGTAAAATTGCGATTGTCTTCGGTATGTTTAAGATCATATTTCTTTTTCCAGATAAAGAAAACGCCTACGAATTTCTCGCCAAAATCGAGAAAACTGTAAATAAGGACAAGGTATTTCACTGGAACTATAGCATAAAAGGCGATCGCTTCCTTCTTTTTTTAGGTGGCACTTGCTCGTATACACGCTGGTCAGATTGATCTGCGCCTAAATCACAAGGATGCGGGAGATCGCCTTGTGGATATCAAAAAAGTCAGGGTAGGCGGTTTTAAATCTTTTAACTATGAACGAAATTGAAATTTTATCTATCAATACGCCAATCTAGGACATGATTGAGACTACCCAAAAGGAGATCGAAAGCTTTGTCGGTGTCACTGACGCCCACGCTCCCTTTTACAAGGTTTGGGAAACTTTTCAATTCTGTTTTTGACGCTTTTAAGTTTTGCATTATTCATAAGAACTTGACAGGTCAGTGCTATGTATCTAAAAGAAGTTGGTGACTTTGCGGGATATTATCGTGAAGCGCTGAGATATCTGGGCGTTGAGGATATTAACAAAATGACACCAGAAGAAAGGCATGTTCAGGTATACATCACCCCTTTTTCTGTTTTTTTTTTCTTTGGTAGACAAGTTTCTAGGCTGTGCTCATCGGTTTTGCTGCTTTGCTTGGCGAGAATGTGTACAATTTTGGAGAATTAGTGAGTGGTTTTGTTCGCATTCCATTGATTGTAATGTCAGTTACCTCTTATAGCTTGCTCACCCCATTCTGAAAGCTCTTGAAGGTTCCGGCGAAAAGTGGCTCTCTGAGGTAATAAGGTTTTGATTTCAAAATTCGCACTCAACCAATGGCTTAGGTTCTGTACGCATTCAACTGTGGTGATCTCAACAAGTTCTACTCACTCGAGAAATACTGGTCTGAATGGGATGACTTGAAACGTAAAAAAGATTTCCTGGTTGGGAAAATTAGACTGTTAGCCATCATGGAGGTTAGCCCTATACTTGTGCAATTTCCTTGCATTTTTCCCCTTGATATGGTTTTTATCCATGCTTGTTTAATATGGAAATTTACCGTTATTGGATTCTCATGTGATAACGATTTTTTGATGAGATTACCCATTTAGCTTGCTCTTGCACGACCGTCAAAAGAGCGCAGGATTTCTTTCAAAGAGATTGCAACTAAATGCCAAGTGCCTGACAATGAGGTTAGTCCACCATTTCCACGTTAGATAGACTTCACTATTCTGTTTGGGACTCAAGCAAGTATATTTTCTCAACTTTCCTCTGATTCTACTGTTTTTGGGCGTCCTTTTGGCATGACTTGAGATTGGCTTCTTGCACTTTTAGATTGAATTCTTAGTCATGAAGGCCCTCAGCAAAGATTTGGTGAGAGGAGCAATAGATCAGGTGAACCAATCGGTCCTTATCACCTGGGTGCAACCTAGGGTACTCAATACCAGTCAGGTAATAAGCTTACTTGTATCTCAGCACAAGTTCCATCGTATTTTTGAAGGTGCTATCAATGGCCAATCGCATCGCTGCATGGAGCAAAGACGTGATCGCTATGGAAAATATCGTTAGTGAGAATGCCCGTGAGATTTTGACGAAATCTTAGTTGCATAATGAGAAGCTGTTTTCTTTGTTGTACATCTCTCAAAACTTATGATATCGCTATTTATTAAATGATTCTCATACTTGGCAGCTTCATTGGTCATAGATTCTAGAATGAGCTAAACGAGAGCTAATCAAGCAGACGTGCATCCATTCTCAAATTTTGCTGCTCTCGCTACGTCGCTGGTTGCCGAGCGCATAGCTGCTACTATCTCTTCTACCATGGAGATAATCTCTAATAGAAGCCAGGCCACCACTAAGGGCCGCATGCACTAACATCCCCGCGGGGAGGGGATCACAGCTTAAAAGAAAGCCTTATATTTCGAAACTCCAGATACCTGGATTTCACGTTGTGTACCTATCCGTAGGTATTCCTACTACCCTTCACTATGAACATGTTGAACAGGAGCGAGAAGCTGTACAAACCGCATTTTCCAGCTTTTGTATGATCCCTGATGATCCCCGGCGCCATACGTGTGCAAAGGGGGAACATGGCCTCTCCAGGGTGAAGGGGGTCATAGGGGTCCCGCCTCTCCAGGGTGAAGGGAGTATGAGGCCGCTGGGGGGGGGGGGGGAGCGGCCGGCGCTGTGGAGATGCGTCGACCGGGGGGGGGGGCGCCAATGTTCGTCATCATTGCTTCTCATGTTCTTTTCATTACATGCATCAAGCAAAATCGTAGCCAAACCGGGTTAAACTCGAATATTGGGTTTTACCCGCCGAAATTCGGAGAAGAAAAACTGGAAAAAGTGAGGCTAAGAAATTAACATTTTGAGCAAAATTATAAAACTATCCACATTATTGAAATTAAATTTAGTAGCATTTTAATTCATAATATCATTAATATGATCATCAAAAACCTATCTGCAGGTTCATTGAGAAGTAGTCGGAAACTTGTCGCCTGTTGTTCACTTTTGGAAAACGACGAAAAAGCCTGGAGAGAAATTTACGTGTGAAGCCTTTGTGTATACATGTCAATGAAGTTATTACTCACGTACTTGCTGAAATAATAAGTGAAATAATAAATGAACTTTGATGATCGGTGCGGTTGAATTGCATTCTTTTTAGTAGGAATAAATTTTCTAAGCAGATGGCGGAATCCGTGGAAAGTCATTGAATGATTCCTTAAAGAGTCATTGTTCCAACTTTTAATATTATTTCTAAACTCCAAAAGACGTAACATTTGCGTGGAGAAGCAGGTGCAACCAAGGGCATCTATTACATCGAAGAGTTGGTGTAATCAGGGTTAGTCGTCTTACTGTCAGAATGCTATAGCTACGAAAATCGTGGAATTCTACAATCCGCCTACTTGGACGATGATAGGGATGAGGAAGGACAGCCAGAGATGCATTTTTCCACGTTGGAGCACTATACAAGAGGAGAAGGACAATCGTATATGATCACTGCGTGATTATTCTGAAAAAAATTTTGTTTTACATCAAAGAAGATTGAGAAATATAAAAGATCTTAAAAGGAAAACTCAGTCATATTTAGCCTATTCTAGTTTAGAAGTCTACTTTCCATCCGTTTTCAGAAAACATACAGCTGGTGAGGAAAAAGGGGGGTTTTTCCTGCTAAATAGAAATAGTTTTGGTCATTTTTTCAAAATTGACTAATTTTCCTATAAAAATTTTCATATGAGAGGATAGGAGAGTCTCTAGCAACACATTGAATTGCTCTTGTTGAAAGCTTTCAGAAAATATACAACTTGTCAAAAAAGAAAGGATTTTCCTGTAAGGTGCAGATGGTCGCAATTGTTTTTCTAAAATTAAAGAAATTTTTTTCATAAAAATTCATAACTTCACTATATGAAAAGCTAGAAGAGTTTTTTGCACTCTGTTGGAATCCCCTCGTCGTCTGCTTCCAGAAAATATATAGCTTGCCAGAAAAAAAGAGGCTTTTCCTATCGGGTGAAAGGGGTCGTAGTCGTTTTTCCGGAATTAAGCCAATTTTTTAATAAAAAAATTATAACAATTTTATACGAGAAGCTGGGAGAGCGCTTAGGTATTCATTGAATTCCTCTCGTCGTCCGCTTTCAGAAAATATATAGGTTGTAGGGAGAGGGATGCTAAAAGTACGTGGTGAAAGGGGTGGGAACATGGTATAATGGGCATGTTCCTTTAGCTCCTTAAAACGACGCTTTTTGAGTACAGAAAGGAAGATTTCCATTATACCATGTTCCCACCCCTTTCACCACGTACTTTTAGCATCCCTCTCCCTACAACCTATATATTTTCTGAAAGCGGACGACGAGAGGAATTCAATGAACACCTAAGCGCTCTCCCAGCTTCTCGTATAAAATTGTTATAATTTTTTTATTAAAAAATTGGCTTAATTCCGGAAAAAACGACTACGACCCCTTTCACCCGATAGGAAAAGCCTCTTTTTTTCTGGCAAGCTATATATTTTCTGGAAGCAGACGACGAGGGGATTCCAACAAAGTGCAAAAAACTCTTCTAGCTTTTCATATAGTAAAGTTATGAATTTTTATGAAAAAAATTTCTTTAATTTTAGAAAAACAATTGCGACCATCTGCACCTTACAGGAAAATCCTTTCTTTTTTGACAAGTTGTATATTTTCTGAAAGCTTTCAACAAGAGCAATTCAATGTGTTGCTAGAGACTCTCCTATCCTCTCATATGAAAATTTTTATAGGAAAATTAGTCAATTTTGAAAAAATGACCAAAACTATTTCTATTTAGCAGGAAAAGCAGTGGTATCAACGCAGAGTACTGTATGTTTTCTGAAAACGGATGGAAAGTAGACTTCTAAACTAGAATAGGCTAAATATGACTGAGTTTTCCTTTTAAGATCTTTTATATTTCTCAATCTTCTTTGATGTAAAACAAAATTTTTTTCAGAATAATCACGCAGTGATCATATACGATTGTCCTTCTCCTCTTGTATAGTGCTCCAACGTGGAAAAATGCATCTCTGGCTGTCCTTCCTCATCCCTATCATCGTCCAAGTAGGCGGATTGTAGAATTCCACGATTTTCGTAGCTATAGCATTCTGACAGTAAGACGACTAACCCTGATTACACCAACTCTTCGATGTAATAGATGCCCTTGGTTGCACCTGCTTCTCCACGCAAATGTTACGTCTTTTGGAGTTTAGAAATAATATTAAAAGTTGGAACAATGACTCTTTAAGGAATCATTCAATGACTTTCCACGGATTCCGCCATCTGCTTAGAAAATTTATTCCTACTAAAAAGAATGCAATTCAACCGCACCGATCATCAAAGTTCATTTATTATTTCACTTATTATTTCAGCAAGTACGTGAGTAATAACTTCATTGACATGTATACACAAAGGCTTCACACGTAAATTTCTCTCCAGGCTTTTTCGTCGTTTTCCAAAAGTGAACAACAGGCGGCAAGTTTCCGACTACTTCTCAATGAACCTGCAGATAGGTTTTTGATGATCATATTAATGATATTATGAATTAAAATGCTACTAAATTTGATTTCAATAATGTGGATAGTTTTATAATTTTGCTCAAAATGTTAATTTCTTAGCCTCACTTTTTCCAGTTTCTCATCGGCCGTGGGTGAAGGGGGGTCAGCTGGGTTCCGGCCCTGGGGTGAAGAGGGTAGGAACACATTATCGCCTTTTCACATGTATGCCCGGCGCTTTTCTTTAAAGTCATTCTTCTTTCTCCGAAGTTAGCGAAAAACCTCCAAAGTTGTGCAGATTGTCTAACTCGACAGTGCTAAGCATGTTGCTGATAAGAACAAATGATGTTTTGAAGTCATGAAATTATCGATGATCCACAGGTCGAAATTTGAAGTTTACCGAAAAATTCGACTTTTCAAAAACTCATTTGTTCTCATCAGCAACATGCTTAGCACTGTTGTGTTAGATGTTCAGTACAACTTTGGAAGGTTTTCGTTAACTTCGGAGAAAGAAAAATGACTTTGAAGAAAAGCGCCGGGGATCATCAGGGATCATACAAAATCTGGAAAATGCGGTTTGTACAGCTTCTCGCTCCTGTTCAACATGTTCATAGTGAAGAGTAGTAGGAATACTTACGGATAGGTACACAACGTGAAATCCAGATATCTGGAGCTTCAGAAATGAAACTTTCTTTTGAGCTGCAATCCCCTTCCCAGCGGAGAGGTTAGTGCGCGGCCCTAAGACGATGCCAGTCCAGCTACAGTCTGTCCCAATCGGGATCAGGCCGAACCGTTGGCAATACTCACGCTTGCAGCACTAAGGATTTGCGCTGCATACGCGCACCGTCGGAGAGAGCGAAGAGATTGAAAACCGTGCAGACAAGCAGGCTGCACTCGTGACGCAAAAACCGAGCAACGCGGACTCCCGCCATGCCAATCTTGGCTTGATCAGGATTAGGATAGATCTAATGAATATGAGAATGTCCTCAACATCCGAGTATGTCGCGAAGTTTTCAGAAGTGGTTTTTGAGGAGGGAACTCCTCAGTAAGTTTCGAGCGTGGCTAACGGTACGTCTCTATTGGGACATTTTTCCCACCCGCTAAGGCTACGCATCTCGTTTCTTGTAGAGTGGACGGTTGATACAATGTTCCTGCGATGATGACAACAATTGCGCGAAAACAAAAGGCATGTTTCTGAATGCCAATTTTCTGGCGAACGAAGCTAAGAAAATGGCTATAAGGATTGCCACTATCACGTGCAAATGTTGTCAGCAACGCAGAAAAGCTGCAACTACTAGAGTAACTAGAAGAATTGCCTAAACTATTAAGATCTTTGCTAAGTAGTCGACAAATCATTCATTTACAGCTTCACTGCTTCAAGAATTGACTCCTAGAAGTAACAAACATAAACTTATACAGGCTCTCAACAAAAAAAAAGAGATATGTTCGATAAAGTCATTTGGTCAAAATACAACAGCAATAGGATTCTATACAGAAATTCAATGGATTTCAATATGGGCAAAAATGCTTCATATCCCTAAACATAATCTCAATCAAGAAAGCCCTCCACAAACCCACACTTAATCACGTATGCGACGTCATCAGTCTGCAAATAGTATTATGTGACCAAACACAGCTAAAAAGAAAATGAAGAAATCAACACACCTAGGCGCTAAGAACGCTTTCGTGGAATCTTCACATTACTACAGAAATGAACTATAACACACAGTGTGAGCATATAGCTATTAAGGACGAACAAAGATGTAATGTTATCGGTATGGTGTGTATCCATGGTAAAGTTTACGAAACCGGTAAACAGATTGGAAAGCAGGAAGAAGACCAGTCCAGACTTATTCACAGATACTGTCAGACATGGTTCTACACCACTCCATGGACTGTCATCTGTATAAATGAGAATGGATTTGGCCAATTAATTAGATTTGACACCTCTTACCTATGCAGAAGTATGGAACATTAGCAGCCCATGCAATTATCGAAAATAACTGCACGCAGAGTAAACCAGCGAGGCCGAATGTTAGGAGAGACATCTGAACGAGCGAAGATCCTCCAAGTACAAACAATGTTTTAAATTCATACCTGTGCAAAGACGTAAGTCATATTGACTACTCGTCTTGACGGGGGTCCTAACGTGTACTCGGACAAGCGCTGCATTATGAAAAAGACCAGCGAAAAGACGAACAGCCTCCAGCAACATTCAATCCAAGATTTTATGCGGATACTAAGCAGAATGAGATGCAGAGATTACCAAACGAGAGAATTTAGAAAAAAAGCTCACGAAGACATGGATGCGAACATCGCCGTAAAATTTGGAAAAAAAACCTACCCCGTTTTCGAAATGAATAAGCCAATAGTGTCGGATATGTAGTAGATAGTGAGGTATCCCATCAAAGAACAAATTCCCTCTGCATTTGCCGTGAAGAAATTGTCACGCTGGTTATCACCATCCAAAATCCATTTCTATAATTCAATCATATTAAACTCACAGGTATTTAGATGTTTTGTCCTTGGAGCAGACAATTGAAAGAACTCCCAAATTATGCAGAATATAAGTTTGTCAACAATATACGCTAATTCGTCTATTTATCGCTAATTTCGGCAGGATTGCTGGTGCAAAATTGTACGTTGGTAAGTCGGCTCTACAAACCTCGTATCCTTGTATGAGCATGGTTTGTTGCAATACGCCAAAAGTACAGGCCCAAAACAAAGGATATGTCTTCGGTAAGGCCATTGAAACTATCTGCAGAAATCAAAGATGATAGACATACATGTATTATTCACACCTTTTACCTTCACTACAGCTAAGGTGTAGAAAAAGTTCCAGTGAACACCATATTCCGTTACATGCTGTGGATAATCCAAAAAAGTTAAGATTGCTGTTCGAGTTATACCAATCAATGGAAGAATAACATATGACGAACGCAGCCACCGGTTCCAACTACAGTCGACTTTTCCTTGAGATGTAATCAAACAAAATGGACAACCAACTTTTTCCTTCTCGTACTCGCTTCCCATGATGACATATTCTTTACTCGGCTTGCTAAAGCAGAAGCAAAGATGAAAGCAGCAACACCAACGTCCATGAGGCTATGCCCGTACTTCTCTAAACAGTTGGGAATAAGAAAAAGAGTATTCCGTTATTTATAAAACCTGTTTTGGTATGTCGACGAGGAAACACAGGGAAGTCCACAGCCAGAATTGCGGTGGCGACAAGGAGTAGCACGGAAGCCCTTAAACTTAAAATTATAGCGAAACACAAAAATAAAGAATGAAAAATGGGCTATAACCATTCTTAATCTGATTTCGATCTGGCTCAGCGGGCAAGCTGGTAATTTCGGATTACTAATCGCCGCATGCATTAAAATCTCAAAATGAGGGAAACGGTTTTCTACTCTTCACAACTTATCGAACATCTTACAGGATCCAGAAATTAAAAAAGTCACTCCCAACCCCTTCTCTTATTCCCCCCCCCTCCCCTCACGTCTGCATCGATCCGAATCAAAAGCATAGCCACAGCTCACGTCCTGACAAATGCATGATACTCCAAATCGAGTGCTTTCAAAGAATATTATTAACAATAGCTTATAAAAACAATTTAAAGAAGCCAATTTGCAGATTCACCTGTAATATGTGACGAAAGTGGTAGGTCGATGTTGTTCGTCAATAATCCTATTCAAAACCACCTTGACTGTTGGTCGATCCGGCGACGCGAAATATTCACAGCAGATAAACACTAGAAGTGTGAGGAGACAAGCAGTGAGCACACATGTTAACAAGAACAAAGAATCTGAGAGCGTTGTCATCGCCAACAAAGGCGGAAGCACCAGAAATGCATAGTCCAAAAGGAACTTGAACCTGGAATGATGTGACAGATAAGTATTCCAGACTTAACTCATTTGCTTACCTACCAATATACGTAGATACTCGTATTGAATTTTCTACCTAGGAATACCCATGGTAAGGATAAATTGCGCACTACAATAGCAAGCATAAACACGATCTCAGCCAAGAAAAGCTAGAATTGTAAATCATTACACACTGAAAAACTGGGAGCTAAGCAAACCTCGTGTTGAGCACATCCGGTGTAGGTGCCAACAAAAGCAGCATGATCTTCCATGTGACCCATTCAAGAACAATCACGAATGAATATAAACATAAATGTACATTAAGGACGCAGCTAGTTGGACATAAAGCTGCTGTCTTTCTACAGCACTCTAGAACGTGTTCTGACGGCCTGCGATTTGCGACATCATTAGAAAAAGGATTGAGAAATGCAATGGATTCAACCATTAGTCTCAAAAGTGCGTTCAGGAGACAACAACATTTATATTGCAACCATGAAATGGGCAAGGACGTAGGAAACCCGTAGCATTGATGGCATAATTATGCATAGTTAAAGTAATCAAGGATTTAAGATAGAAGAACTTCAACTTCAAAAGTCATGTGATACATTAAATTGATGTGAATCAACTCGCTATACATAATCTGTACACATTACAGAACACTAATAAAAACATAACGATTACTTGGTAATCCTCAAGGATCTTAGTGTGATGTTACCGACGATATCGCGGAAAAATCAGTACAAATCAAGGTATGTTTGTCCCATTTCTTCGCTGGCAGCATTCACTCGGCAATGCTGTCCAGTCATAAACATATGAATATCTCACTCGATACTCCTTTTCACACAGCTTTCGTAGGTTCACCTCAAACGAAGAAAGTCAATTTTCGCCCATGCCTGACCAGATATTGTGAAAGGATAACTTACAAGATTATTGTATAAAGTCTCCATCTCTTGAGGTGATTTCTTATGCGTGATAAGATATTCATTGTTGCAGCCTCGAGATTTCCATTCCGTATCAAAACGTGGATCATGAACGTATTTGATGTCAAGACCTGAGTAGTAGCATACAAACACTAAGCTGCATAGGTGCGAAGGGTTGAGAAAAATCTCATCCCCCCTTCACTTTGGAGCCTGGGCTACCCCCCCTTCACTTGGAATGGAGAAAGAAAATTTTTTGAGGTGAGATGATAGTGTGCTTGAAGTGGAGTACAATTTAAGGTAAAAGAATTTATTTACAGAGTGTAGGGAATGAGAATGCGGGAAAGGAAGCAAAAATCGGGACCGGACCCCCCTCACTGGGACGAAGCAGGTGCTAAGGTGAGTTAGTTAGATTAAAGTTGAGATATCGGAGCTGAAAAATCCAATTTTAGGCATTCCATGGGACGAGCAGTATTGAATCGATATAGGAGGGCGCATGGTCGTGAAACGAATGGCTGGAGTGGTGCCTACACATGGGCTTATTGGACGAGACTCTGAAAAAGACATTTTGTGGTTATAATGTGGATACAAATTGAATAATTTGCCATCGTATTGTGTGTATAAGGATAAACAATAAATGAAATTGTTGTAAATCGAATTTGTATATACTGAATGAAGGCAGAGAAGCAGGTTTGAGTTGTTAACTATACCCCCGCTTCGAGCCAAAAAATTTCCGTATCTCGGTGGGGGAAGGGTCATCTCATGATCTAGTTTTTTTTTATCTTATAAGGGAGAGTGTGCTTGAGATAACTAGGGCTGTCGCAAAAGAATCTGCTGAAGCAGAACTTCTGAAGCTTGAATTTTACGCACAAATTTATGCGTCTTCAACTCGGTGCTGTTGCTCTCCTTCCTTAAAGCAGATACTTTTGCGACAGCCCTAGTTATATCAAGTGAACCTCTTTCTACAAGATGGTGAAAAAAGTAGATCACGAGAGGACCTCCCCGCTGAGATATGAAGCGTCAAATTGAACCACCCAAAATCGATTTTTTTGCTATAACTCTTATGTAAATAAACAAAAGTAAACAAGGAGCTGGAATTAGAATCTACTCTTCAAGAGCTTTCGAATGATATATAATATGTGGGGGTTCCTCGTTTTTTTCGCCCTGCGACAGGGGTTGAGACGCTCCAGTTATGCGATCTCAGGTCTATCCCCCCCCTCTACATGCATTAAAGTGGGCGGGGTTGAGATCGCATAACTGAATCGTCTCAACCCCTGTCGCAGGGCGAAAAAAACAAGGAACCCCCACATATTATATATCATTCGAAAGCTCCTGAAGAGTAGATTCTAATTCCAGCTCCTTGTTTACTTTTGTTTATTTACATAAGAGTTATAGCAAAAAAATCGATTTTGGGTGGTTCAATTTGACGCTTCATATCTCAGCGGGGAGGTCCTCGCGTGATCTACTTTTTTCACCATCTTGTAGAGGGAGGTTCACTTGATATAACTAGGGCTGTCGCAAAAGGATCTGCCTTAAAGAAGGAGAGCAACAGCACCGAGTTGAAGACGCATAAATTTGTGCGTAAAATTCAAGTTTCAGAAGTTTTGCTTCAGCAGATTCTTTTGCGACAGCCCTAGTTATCTCAAGCACACTCTCCCTTACAAGATAAAAAAAACTAGATTATGAGATGACCCCCCCCCCCCCACCAAGTTATGGAAATTTTTTGGCTCGAAGGGGGGGGGTATAGTTGGCAACTCAAACCTGCTTCTCTGCCTTCACTCAGTATATACAAATTCGATTGTGTACAACAATTCCATTTATTGTTTATCCTTATACACACAATACGATGGCAAATTATCCAATTTATATCCACATTATAACCACAAAATGTCTTTTTCAGAGTCTCGTCCAATAAGCCCATGTGTAGGCACCACTCCAGCCATTCGTTTCACGACCAGCCCCCTCCCATATCGATTCAATACTGCTCGTCCCATGGAATGCCTAAAATTGGATTTTTCAGCTCCGATATCTCAACTTTAATCTAACTAACTCACCTTAGCACCTGCTTCGTCCCAGTGAGGGGGGTCCGGTCCCGATTTTTGCTTCCATGGTATATGATAATGAAATGATATTCACCAAAAAAGTACTCGGAAACATTTTACTATGTTAAAGTGTATACAAATAAATTAAGAAAATTTAATAGCAAAAAAATTGGAAAATTGTTAAAATTAAAATTTGGAAAAATTAGAGTTGAAAAATTGGAAATTTATTTTTTTTCAATTCCCCCCCCCCGGTCGACGTCGGCAATTTTTGGACCCCCTTCACTTTTGGGGGTCAAAAACACCCGAGACCCCCTTCACTTTGGAGGGTACCCATCTCAACCCTTCGCACCTATGCTAAGCTGAATAAAAAAGAGACCGATTTACCAGCGAGCCAAGCGCCAACAGAGACATCTTCATTTTTGTATAATTTAAACAGTCGTGCATTGAGTGCCAGGAAACGAACCAGTTCGTAAGATAATACGTATCCACCTCCAAGCTGAAAATACTATGTGCAATCATGAAAAGTTTTGTATTCGCACGTTACATAGTGGTTTAATGACTCTAGAATCTGTAGATAATGCTAACAGCTGGGTAAGATGCAGTTCAAAAGTAGCTTCGAACAGATTGCAAGCATCAACGAAATTTTGGAAGAAAAAAATTTACCTTCTATCTGCTCCTTTTTTGCTGGTTTTCGTGAAAATTTATAAATGCAATGCATCTTCAAATGCAAATATCAAGCATCAGAAAAATAGAGCTCGGTAAGCTAAGCTGCAAGTTTCTCCACTCGATAACGTCCCACAAATCAAGAGTATATAAATTTAACAAAAAAATGAGTTGCATCAAACGGAAGAAGTTTTGTAAGCAAATATGGTAAGCAGATCAGATACCAATTATGCACGCAAGCAGACGCTCAGTAAGTCTTCCACGACAAGCGATCCTTATAGCAAGCTTGAGAGCATTCTTATACTGTTTAGATTTCGTGAAATTTGCGTGAAATTCTAGAATTACATTGAAAATTATAAACGAGATAGGAGAACCACCAAACAACTGAAAAAGGATGCGACGTGGCATGCCTATGTGGCGATACAAGCGTACAGACAGAAAAGAACACGCATCATTTACTGTTCTTTAGATGTTTTCTATGAAGCTTCTGCGAATATTTCACTCTTTGCAACTGATTTACCTGATAGGGTAGATAGCGATCACATAACACCCAATTTGATTCACGCCATTTTCCTTTGCGTATAGGTTTCGCTCTACCATCCAAGAATCCCCAATAAAGACGAGGATGTTGGATGTCCTTCAAAGCTTTGATGATCGCACCAAGACGAACAAATGAATCAGAGTCCACCTAAAAGAAACTGAGAAAGTCATCCTTCTAGATCAAAGAAAACTACCTTTAGCACGTATTGGAACCGAAATTGTTGAAATGCATATTCCATTGACCTTAAAGTCTTCAGTGCTAAGTTCGAATACTTCTCTTCCAATGCATCAATGAGAGCAAGATCGTTGTGCACCTTCTGCTCTTCCTCCAAACGCAAGCGCATATCCTCACTAAATTTCATTTTTGCATCTTGTAGCGCAATGAGCTGATCTATACGCTTACCTAATTCCTTTTGTTCCAAGTGGAAAACGATGCTGCACAACCGAAGGACCCTTTTGTGACAATCGCAACCATGTATTTCTAATCACTGTTCGCACATCGCTGTCGTTAGGAGAAGACATTATCATCACAAGTAAGTAAGTGTCGTCTTTTTTGATATCGGTAACTGATGTTGCTTCTGCAGAATATCAAGCTACAATGGATACAGGATAGTCGACAAAGCACAACTGAACGATGAAATCTGAAACTCACCAAGCACGCTCCTTCGGGCAACATAGATTTCTGATGATGCGGAGTTGCAAGTACAGCTATAGGATATAATCAATGTGCATATCACGCAGACACCTATAGCTGCGAATAGATAGCGCCGCAAAAACGACATCTGAAACAAACTCTATTGTAAGTGTAGATAAAAAAGTTGATAGCCACCTCACAGCTACAGATCAAGCGGGTAACAAGTTATAAGCAGACGGCAATGCATGAAGCTTAGGCAGACGCCATACTTATCTGGTTCAACTGTTTCATCTGGTTCACCTCATTCGCTATTGGTCAAACCACTGAGCTGACCAATAGCGAATGGGTAAATTTGATGAACCGGTTGAACCGGATAAGTATGGTGCCTACTTTACAGGTTGGCGTTGCCAAAAGTGCGCAAGCTCCGCATACTCTATAATAAGAGAGTGCGATTGTAGTCATCATATGCGTCTCGCCTGGGCTCACCATATCGGAACACGTCAGGGGAAGAAAGACCCGTTGATGGTTGGGTTAATGATGGCGGCCCTACACAGCATTCCTTCGATTCCGAACCAAATGCTCCTTAAAGGCAGTGGATCGGCAGAATGAGTCCCGTGGCAAAACGAGGTCACAGGGTAGGAGTCCCCACAATGGAATCTATCGGCCAAAGTCCGATCTTTCTCTGCCACTTCTAACCCCCGAAATATCAACGCGAAAGCACGCTCATCTCCTCTCCTCTCCGACCCCGCCCGGACGAGTGTCCGCGGTCAGAGCCCGCATGCCGCAATGCTATCTCAGACACTCGCGGTTGACTCGCGCAGGGGATCCGCCCACAAAATGGACGTTCGCGGCAAAATCCGGTGGACCGGCGCGAGTCATCATTTTAGTTTCGTCCGGATTTTGGTGCGATTTTGTCGCGACGGGCGAGGAGGTTTCGAAATAACGCACCTATACGTCGACGTATTGATCAATTCTTCCCTGCATTTGTTGCATTTGTTTTTTTTTTCTTAGATGAATCTATACTTAGCAAATCATGTCTTTCCAGAGACGTTCCATGCCGATAAAAACCAGGCTTAGACCAAAGAGAATCAGCTTGAGACGCTCATTTCGAACGCGCTCTTCTGATCACACGGCCATTATCTGCGTTGATCATCATCCGGAAGTAAAGGTGAACCCTTTTTCTCTCTTTCTAGAAGTTATATTTCATTCTTAGATTGTTTTGCTTGCTTACTTTAGCTGATTACTGGACTTTGAGTATTTATGCTAACGTGTACTATTTTGGTTTTCAAGCGCTTTTACGAAAACGAATGGGATGACGATTTTGCGTTGCGATCCCCGAAGCCAAGAAGGGAACGCCGACCTAAGCATAATCCTGTTCTTGAGGAGGTCGGAAGAGTTTTCGCATTATGATTACCATGATTCACCTATGATATAAGCTCATTCCAGGATTTTATAGAAGAGGAAGAAGAGAATGTTAATGACAATGATGAAAGCCGCGAGAATGTCGATTCACAAGTGGATAGTGATCTTCCGGCCGTGCAAGAGCTGAATGAGAAGGCATGTTTTTATTTATGAAACTGAGAAAGTAATGTTCTTCTTTTGCGGTTGCTCATTTCTTAAAATGGTATGAGCTTACAAGACAGTCATTTTCGAAATTTTGGAGGTTATGCGATTTTTGAACTGCGGTTGCTTGTAATGCTTTTTCTGAACTTCTTAAAGCAGATTTTTCATCACATGAAGAATGTCATCTACGGTTCAACTCTGTGCAAAAACTGGCATCAATATTGCCGGTTCCAGTTCCATATTATTTAGAGTACACAATTCCAGTTCAAAATTTACCTGGCATAGCTCACATTTATCGTACCGCATCTCACGAGTTTAGAAAAATCACTCATTTGACTCTCGCCTTTTTTTTCAGTGATTTGTACTCAATTCGGAAGATGAAAGAGTTTATGCACATTGTTCATCCCGCACGTCATCATTTCTGACAGTTGGCTTAGCCGGAATTCGGAATTTACTTACAAGGGAAGGATCATCCATCGAAGTGGGGTTTCCACACATGATGCATATCATTCTGCTTCTCTTGGGGCCCTAATGCCAAATTCGTGATCCTTAGCTGCTCAATGATTTTCTGGGCAAAGTTATGAGCGATGGTTTACCCAAGATGCGGCTAAGGCTCGCATTGAGCTTGCGGCGCCAAGGGCATGAAGATGTGGACGGGTGGTCGAGGGACACCTGCGGAGACTATGGAGCAAGTGGTAAAGAGTTCGGACCACTTTTGCAGCCACAATCTTTGCAAGTTGTTTAAGGTTATATTAGAAGGTCCCTAAGGCAAGGAAACCCTCATTGCAACTTAATTACATCAAATCTCGGAGATAATGGAAAAATCGTGCAAAGTTCTGAATTGGGCAATGTTGGTAGATCAGTTGGATCAAAAACATGTAAAACAGGTACAATCAACATGGATACTTGATGGGAAGCTTATTCATCATTTGCAATTATGTTTTCGCCGCAGGTGGTAGTGGGGTAGCTAGCTAGAAAGTTCGGTCCATGCGAAGTTCTGCGCAAACCACTCGAAAGGAGCAAAGGCTTTGAGCAAGCTCAGAGCAATTTTTTGAATCACGTTATTGTGTTTTGAGTGACGACGCTTGCGAAAAATTATTCGACGTCCTCTCAGAGGAAAGAGTAGTATGGAGCGGTAAGGCGAGGATAGCAAATGGGAGAGCTTTGTGAGTTTTCTCATAAGGAAAGCGATACTTCTAAACTTTATTTTTGCAGGGAAGACATCGGGAGGTATCATTTTGACCCTGATGGGTCCATGCTCCTTCCATCAAAGGTAATTCGTTTGTTTTATACGATCCTGGTAACAATAATTTTTTATTTTCAGAAAAAGCGCGTCATGGTCGAAGGCAGCAGTGTTACCAAAGAAGGCGTAACGATCCAGAAGACTGAAAACGTTGAAGATGAAGATGAAGTAGTCGTAAAAAATTAATGCTGTTGTCATTCTTAACCGTAGTTCTTTCGTAACCTTGTGTCGTGATTGCGGTGCTTTGATTCCTGTCTCATTTCGATGTTATTGTAAACGCTACTCGAGAAGATCATGTGGTATTTGCTAATAAATTTTATGACGTAAGACTGGGTTTATCAGCAGAAAAAAAACAAGCGTGGGAAACGGGACCCAACGTGACCAAGGACTCAAGGTAAGTCAAAAGGAAGGCGTGAGAGAGGGCTTAGAGGACGCAAAAAGCTGTCAGGAAGGGCGTAGGCCGCGTGCTCTGAACGCGATCGCGACATTTTGGTGTCTCGCGCAGGTCTCCCCATTTTGCCCCGATTTTGCCGCGCACTTTTGCCGCGACACAAAATCAGGTGTCCTGATTTTGCCGCGACACCGATTTCGCGAGTCGCCCACGCATTCAATGGCTACACATCGTTTTGCCCTGCGCGAGTCAACCGCGAGTGTCTGAGATAAGCATAAGCAACGACTCTGCGTCTACTCGTCCGTGGGGTAGGCGGGGTCGAAGAGGAGAGGAGATGAGTACTGCTTTCGCTTTGAAGTTTCGGGGGTTAGAAGTGGCAGAGAAAGATCGAACTTTGGCCCATAGATTACATTATGGGGGCTCCTACCCTGTGACCTTGTTTTGCCACGGGCCTCATTCTGCCGATCCACTGCCTTTAAGGCAGGGCATACATCACGCAATTTCATCGCCTCCCGATTCTCCCAACAAGACAATCAACGCATGCCGATCATCTTGCATTCAATTATGAATTCTCCACGCAGCTAATCGCGGTTAACTAACACAACCGAAGTGCAAAATGACCAGCATGCAATAAATTGGTAGCAGCTGTCTTGTCGGGAGAATCGAGAGGAGGTTGAGTAATGTCGCCAAATTTGGAAAGGTCCTGCCGTGTTACATATGTGCTCGCTTTCCACTTAATTTGTCTTAACGTAAAGGTATGAATACGGCCAAATGACCCCTCCCCCCCCCCCCCACACCTTCGCGAACTACCGTCCCTCAAACAGCGTGACCTAACTGCAAAAAGACTAGGGTTTGCGGAAGCGTCTAATGGCGGTTTTTGCTTTCTTACCCTGTCTTAAACGTTGCAGAGTGAAGCACGGAATCAAACCACATATAGCGTTTGCTCCAACCGTTATAAAAAAGTACGTTCGTGTTCGGCAACGCGGTGCCCCGGGGAGGTTCCCATAGGTGTCCACCTCGAATCTTCAACCGATTCACTGCCTTTGTGAGATTGGGCAACAACCACTGCGCGTAAATAAATATAAGCAAGAATTGCGGCATTTTGCACGCGCAAATCGCCGGCACTTTATAGCTATTTGCTCGGCTACGGGTCAGGCCTAAGGCATACCTCTCGCGATCCCGTCGCGTCGCCAACTCCAACTCGGACATATGTTCCGAGTCCGCAGTGTGCAAGTGTGTGGTCCCGCCGCTTCTGTGCTAGACTGACGCTGCGACGGATCGCGGGGTCATTTTTGGACGGGCATACCTCAGCAGAGAAATCGTCGCGACATCGCTGAAACTCAGCGATGTCGCCGTCGCTAGGTCCGACCCAGCGATGAGCGAATCGCTCGAACAGCTTCTTCTTTGTTATGAAGTTTTGTATATTTTTGTGAGTGCAAATTTCATTTAGGACTATTCCATCTCACAGAATTGCTTCTTCTCTACATGAGAGAAGGTTGGTCATCGAGCATTCCATACTATCGATCCATGAAAACCACACATGCGAAGTCCATAGTATGGAATGCTTCCCGTATGTCACTCAACCCTTGCGTTAGCATTTATTTCTCGCAAAGCACTGCGAAGTTAACATCTGCACTTCATTGCAGATTTTAACTTCGCTGGTAGAAAAACGTTGATAAATACTAGGATGAGTGTGAGTCCACATCCTTCTTCGTTTGATGTAATGTCCTTGTAAGCATGTGGTCCCACATTCTCGAATTTCCTAGAATAAATGCACTTCAGACAGTTTAGCGCAAAATTTCCAAAAAGGCGTACAATGCGGTGTGGTGTGTGAGCGTCTACGAAATCGCCTTGGGTATGTCCGGTAACTAAGCGATGTTCAAGCAGTGCACGGTCGCCCAGGCGGTCTAGTCGCAGCGATCGAAGATCGTCACGACGGGCCCCCCGACGACGCGATCCGGATCGCGTGAGGTATGCCTTAGGCCTCAGGAGTCACCCCGCGCGCGGCGGACGCTCGCCGCGCTGAGATTTTGTGCTTATAAAAATTTTCCGGCTAAAGTGGCACGGGTAGGGTGGGGACAGAGGCAGATATTGCACCATGAGTACTGACGAGAGCTGACCATTGTACTGCCTGACGTCGCGTTGCGCCATCGCTTCACGACAGATCGTGACTCCTGACCCGTACCCATTTGCTCAAGCGCAGACTTTGTAGTTTAATCGGCAATGAGCGCACCATATGTATCGTCAGATCCGCTACCCTGTACGCTTATGTAAGGGTAACGGATGAGACATACAGCTGCGAATTGGAGGGGCGTGTAGAGAGCAGCGAGAATTTTGCAACTCAATAGTTTGTCGCTAGCAAACGATAGTCAAATAGCGATGGTTGGAAGTCCATAAGCTAGAACTACCCCGTTAAACCTTGCTGGTAAAGGCTCCACGACAGAAAATTCTCGGAGCCAAAAGCTGATGACAGAAATCCAGTCTGGATCCTTTGGGGAAGATAAACCATAGGGAGCAGTGAAGTCTACAGGGCTTTACATCCTGAGTGTCACAGCCGCCCCGCTCGGCCGCCACGCTTAGGTCCGCGTAGCGTTCGTGGCGCATCGTCCGGGCATTTTGCCAGGTCTCAATCAATGCCGCCGACGCATGCACCAGGCTGCGCATCGACTGAAACTTGGCAAAATGCCCGGACGATGCGCCGCAAACGCCGCGCGCGGCCTAAGCGGGGCGGCCGCGTTGGAGGAGCCGCGCAAGCGGAGATTGTGACTCTTATGTTGAAAAGCCCTGTATCTTCCAACTTCTTTTTGAAAGTGAATGTGCTAGCGGATTGAGCAGATCAAGTACGGTAAGTGTCAACCACAAGTTCCTTTTTGCGCAGCGTTCGCTGATTGATGCCACCAATTCAAACACTTAAGTAGGTGCCAAAGTAAGCGAATATTTTGTTCAGGTTGGGGTCCCGCGCAGAATTGACGCCTCTCACCATGCTGGCGTCAATCCAAGTGACGTCAATTCTGCGTGGGACCCCAACCTGAACAAAATGTTCGCTTACTCTGGCACCTACCTTAAAGAGCGCGCCCGCGTACACGGCATGGTGCTCTGGGGTTAAGCTGACCGGAAAGGGAGCACATCTCGCTGACATGGACTGTATAGTCTGCCCCAAACGGGATCAGGCCGAACCATCGGCTGAAATTGCGCGCTCACAGCGCTAGGGGTTTGCGCTGCACACGCGCGCTGTCGCAGAGAGCGAAGAGGTTGAGGAGAAAGCAGACTAGCTAGCCGCAGAAGTGGCGCGAAACCCTCGCGACGCAGACTCCCGCCATGCCAATTTTGGCCTGGTTAGAATTGGGGCAAACTGTATGGCGCGTGCCAAAATGTACGCACACCTCATTTATACGTGTTATCATAGACTTTTAGATACATTTTCGGCTAAAATATACCGTGAGACGCTGAAAAAAAAAACATCGATGTTGCCCGCAAAATTCATAAGTGAATTGAGACCGCCTGTAGTGGTAGACAACCGCTCGCCCATGCTGGTGTTCAAGGCACGGCGCAAGCAATCAAGTTTTGCAATGCCTATACGATCGATTCAAAAATACAAAAAATATTTTCAACAAACTCCAGTTCTATCATTCGTAACCACCCATCCATACAAGCACATCACCCCTCATGTAAACTTTATCCGTCGACCGCATGGACTGACCATTATGGCCGCTGCAAAGCGACTGATGTTGCGAGAGCACGATTTGAACAACTGCGATTTGTATAGTCGGTTTCGTCCCGGACTAGGCGAAACATCCTGCATGGAGCAACGCGTGCGCATCGCTGGAGGCTTCGCGAGCGCATAGCGCTGGCACTTTGCCGAGCAAAGACTGAGGGGAATGAAGAGACGCACGCTTGGGTTCTCAGCGCCATATGACATACTGTACCGTCGATTCATGACACGCACAGACTGGGCGCCGTTGCGTCCGACGAAGATAGCTTATGCAAAGGAGAGACAGCAGACGGTAAGACGAACGAAAGAGCGCCCGATCACGGAGACGCCGATATGTCCGCAGTCTTTGCATGCCTTGAATCGCTTATAGCTGCGAAACGGCGCGAACCGTTGCGGACACCCGGCAATCCAATTTCCACCTGAAGCGGGTCGAAACTTACTGTACTAAGGCTTAATACATATATGTCGTTTGTAAAATCGTGACGACAGATTTGACTGCGGTCTTTGCGCCCACAGGAGCAGGAAACACTCATAAACGGCATCACCTCAACTCTCAGCTAGCCCTAATGTCTAATTACTGCCATACGTAAGCAAAAAAAAACCACTGAAGTAAAGAAGAAACCTAGAAGATGCGGTTGTCGTGAAGTGCGTGCTCGCGCGCGGTCGCGCTATCGTCACGATTTTTCGAATGCCCTATACCTGGCGTCGGGTGTCTATATGTAGCGGTGGCAGCAACGCAATTCGTGCCTTGCAGCGGAGTGACGCTCTGCCTCCTGCTGCAGCAGCTAGCGCGAAAAGTCGTGCCTATACCTAGGGAGTCATTTTTGAGCAGCGCTGCAACACCTTTTGCAGCTGAGTTACGCCCACTTTTCCTGAGCGTATCTCAGCTGCTCTGAGCTGCAAACAGCTGCTTTTACTTGACTCTACCTACTTTTTTCCAATTTACAACTAGCAATATCAAAACAAAGTTCGTCTTTCTGGCATGAACAAGTCATGAATGCACTGTAAAATTACCAAATTAAAGTTTTAAAGACGGATATGGAAAAATAGCGAAAAGAAGTGGCGAAAGCAATTACAGGTTGGCAACAATTTCAATAATTGAAGGAACTGACAGTGTAGCGAGATAAAATCTTGCCTACAGGGAACTTGACCATGTCATATCTGAGGAACACTCTCATATTGCTGGGATCATTGCCCTGATAAGAGTCGAATGTAATTAGTACACTCAAACTGCTTCCTTTAAAAATGTTTTAAAGTAGATGGCTACCTTTTAATGATTTGAATAATGAAAAATAGAAAATGAAGAACTTCTTACAAGTAGACTATGATGTTTAGATCAAACTCAGAACATTTGAGCTAACCCTTCCTTATTGACATAATAGAACTTGACGATAGCGCAGTTACTATGAATAGTTTTTGCACCCAACATGCACGCAAGAAGCAGCCGATTGCAACGCTGCATACCTCGCTGATCAGCTGAAGCAGCGCTGCCTTCGCTGCTCGCTGGTTTTGTCCATACTTAAGCAGCGAGGTATGTATCAAGCCTAAGAGCACTTTTTAAAGTATGTCACTAGCAATCTCCCAAACATACTTAAACGAATAGAAATTAGAGTTAGGTTAAAGTGCAGTGTAATTTTATATCTTGCTAGAGAGACATCATGATCCCACTGATGTTAAACGTGCTAAGACATTCAGCGGAACATCGCGACAGTGAATAACTCAGAGATAAAGGAAAAATGTTTATTCACTATCATATTCGCATAACTTTGTTTCAGTACAATATAATCGCTCTGCCTACAGAGAAAAGACACCAGTCGATGAGTGCAGACATTAGTAAGAAGGATCGCTTTCTCTTCAGTAGAACCAAGCACATGTTTTCTGGATTAACGGAGAGAACATATCAGCTTCAGGATATATTACAACTAATTTCACATTCTGAGGCATCTGTGAAACCGTACATTCGGCATGAAAATGAGAGACTGAAATCAATTTTCAGCATTTTACTTGTGTTGTCATTCATTCCTATCTTCCTTAGGACCTCTTTTAATCATGAAATTTTGTTAGCGGATTTTGGAAAACTTCTATAAGTTACCCCTTGAGCACTCAAAATGTCAAAGCAGATTATGTGATTTTCAAAATACAAATAGATCTTTTCGAAATCTCCTTCGTCATAAAAATTGAAACAATAAAATGACTGGTGTGCAATGGACATCTTTTTTATATATGGCGAAATAATATGTTGCAGTTTCTCATTACGTCAGCAAAATCGTTTATGAGAAAAAATCGAATTTGTCAGCAGCTCAACCAGCAACTGCATAGCTTGAAATTTTCTGCTATGATTTTACCGCAAAATTTCATGCAAATGAAAAGAGATAAATATATCACATACGACCACTCACCGGAAAAGATGCTTCACGTTTTAATTCTCCAGAACAGCAGCTGGTGGACAAAGGTTCCCCCATAATCAAAAACCGGAGAATTCTTAGAAATCAAAAAATGCGACATCAACTTTGCTGCTGCACCAGGAATCAAAACTCATAAACGTTGGCTAAGAGAGAGAATGATTTGAGACAAGATATCTTTAAAAATAAAAAGAATACATACATGACTGTGGATAAAAGCTTATTTGTAATGTGCATCTTGTTCTTGCGCAGCCTGTATCATATATCTAACTGCAAACGCAAGTACCACGACGCCTGCAATCACAATTAGATTCGACATGAGCGACGAAAGGCCAGATGACGGCTCGGCGGCACTAAAAGAACAAAAAATTTCGTTATAATATAACTGCAAATGGACCAGTAATTAACTGAACAAACATCTTCGTAGTTTGATCTACGCAAAATGCTCCCAAGAGATAGAAAACGTTGATTAGAATTGAGCAGATGAAAAGCAAAAGATGGCTAAGAAAAGTGATGTGTGACTATTGGAATTTGTAACACAATTTCGTCCCCCCCCCCCCCTATAATCAACAAGAAAGCAAACAACAAAAACAAGAATACCTTCGCAAACGTTCCTCCTCTTCTCTCAAAGTTGCTTCTTCCGCTGTGCTGGTTTCGCTTAGGTCTTTCTTGATGTCCTCGACTACATCAGGGAACAAATCGCAAAACACTCGATCCTCAAATTGTAAACATAGTGAACATAGGAAGACTTGGCTTACATTACCTTCAGGTTAAATGTTTTACTACGTCGAGCGAGTATTCTCTTCTCTGCATCTGATGATGTGATACTTCCCAATGTAGGAGCTGTGTCATTCATGAATGATAATAGACCAGTGATAATCGTGGAAACCTGCAGATGAGCATTCAAAACAAAAAAATGAGCAGAGAAATGATTTCTCACCGTCCATGCAGGATTCCAAGTGTCAGGATGGAAATCAGAAATTGACAAGCAAAGTCTAGTATTCACTTGAAACCGTCCACTAGGTGTAATCATATAAATAGAAGGAGGTTTGAAGGGAAAGTCATTTGGGAACACCAGTTTGCCATGATAAACACCTCCTGAAGACAAACTTCAACATACCGCACAAGATGTAGGGTTGGTTGTCCTTTTGAATGGAGAGGAGATACATTGTATTATTATTTGAAAATGAACCAAGCAAGTATATAAAAAGAATTTGAAGAACAAAACCAATTCAGAAATGCTTGTTCTAGATCGAAAGTGCAAACCTTCGTATGGAGTGTTCGGCGCTCCATATATGATGTAATGCCATTCAAGAATGTTCTCCTGCAAGGGTGCCGCGCGAACAAATGGCACCGGCTCTTTCAATAATTTCGCATAATCTTTCTTCAACCTTGCCGTTGCTGTGACCGATGCCACCATGGATGTATCTGAAACAACATTTCTTTCGCCACACATTGAGCATCGTCCCTCCCAGCCATCGATAGCATCTCAACAAGTCGTTATCAAACTGCTCTGACATTCGGTCCGTGCGGTGCGCGCGTGCTCCCCGTGCGGCGCCTTGTAGTGCGAGGGGGCCGAACGTTCCGTGCGCGCGGGCCGAACGATGAATGCGCGCGGGTCGAACGATAATGCGCGCGGGCCGAACGATGAATGCGCACGGGTCGAACGGTGAATGCGCGAGGGCCGAAAGGTGAATGCGCGCGGGCCGCACGGTTTCGAAAGCGCTCCGTCCGCAAGCTACTAGAGAATAAGTCTCTTTCACAGATCTTCTTTTCTTCTTTCGTCGTGCCGTGAGCATTCTCAGCTTCACAGTCCAAGAAAATTCCGAATTCAAGAAATTCGAAAATTTGAATTTGAATTCACAGAATTCAAGATTCAAATTCAGCACCCATTCGGGACGCTGTCGGGGGATAACCTCCGTAGAAGTAAAAAACTTCTTATGTTCCTGCGATTACTCAAATGCCGATAAATGATGCCTAAGTCAGCTCCACAAGTGATGGAGCAGCCTAATCATAGCGTCGTACCTCACGCGGGTACCTATTACGCTTATAGCGTGTGATTGGAGGCGCGCGGGCGGCACGGTGAGAATATATTGAGCGCGGGCCGTACGCTACGGATACAAGGCGCGCGGGCCGCACGGTACATGACTCCGCCCGTAAATCTAGGCGCGCGGGCCGCACTGCTGGCCATTAACAAGCGCGCGCCGCACTCACCGAATGTCAGAGTGCCACCTATCCGATCGCTGAGGGCAATCTTTTTTTTGCTGTCGACCGTATCGTAGCGTTCTGATTTCCCACACTCGTTAGGAAGTTCCTCCGTCAAACTTGACTCAAAAGCAACAAAAAGCGCTAAAAGGTACAACCCCATTTTCGCACGAAATTTGACGTTAGAGTAATTCGTTTCCGAAACCAGTGCGTATGACAATTGTTCATGTTTACACATACCAGTCACCGGTGGGTCATGTGATCCGAAATGGCAGTACACGTACAACCCACCGGTAGCTCGTACTTTTGTGAATGTGTTGAGCAGTTTGCGTCTGCGATGTTTCGGAATGCGCGCCGGTCGCTAAAGACACAATGTCACAGCCCTATGAAAGGTCACATAAAAGTTAGGACATTCCTAGCAGTCGACTGAAAGCTACCTTTTTCTTACATTCATTTAACAACAAAGCAAAACTCTGCATCCAACCAATGAAATTATAATCATGCAAGCCTACGAGACAGAGTTTTGCGATGTACGCAATCTCGATGTCAATAAACGCAACAACTCTTTCGAAAACAAACTTGGGTAGCAAAAGAGCACATATAGAATGCTTCTAAGCAATAATAATGTCTATTTTCTGGGGTTCAAAGCTCCGAGATAGATTAATGCTGATCGATCTTTTAGCAGAATATTCGCAACAACGATATGATACAAGGATGTTCAACAACCTTCTTTAAAATCAATGCAGAAGTAACAAAGTGTTTATTATGATGCACTATATTTTCTAGTTAGCAAAAAGCCAAAATTTGCAATATTTACAGCCTGAGGATTGGGCAAAGTCCCAGAACAACAACATCACATGCAGACTAACCACTCACCAAAGATGAGAGAAGAGAGATGAACACCTTTAAGATAATTCGTGATATAAGCAATATCTTATCAACACAGATATTTGTGAAACAAGATTAGCATGACGAACCGTAAAGTACTTCGTATTGACAGGTTACTATAGCGATGAACAAGGTACCGATGCAATGGCAACCATGCATGATTGCAACGAAAAACATAAAAACGTACCTTACGTAACAAAACTCACATCGTTGCATAACAGGACTTAACAACTGTACGGAAATAAACTACTACACAGCTGGTCGATTTATTAATCTAGATCTCAAAACGCCCTCTAAGGAAGGGACGTAACGGAGTTATGCAAAATTATTTATTCTCTATATTACTACTCATTTGCTGCATTATCGACAACTCCAAAAAATTTGATAAAATTCTTTCTCGAAGATTCATGTGGACAACAGCATTCGCTAACATGATGGAAGACTATATCTATGCAACCCGCTATCCTAATCATGAATTTGCTCCCATATAAAAAAATCAGTTCTTTATACACGGTTTCAGCCGGATGCGTAGCAAGTGTTACCCAACCGCAGCTAGCCGCCAGAGCTGGCATCAACGCCGCGGCTGAGCTATCCTAAGCGCGACGTCGTGCACAATCCCTCGCTCAGAAATTTCGCAGCAACCTAGCACCTCATCGCGTTGAGGTGCGAAGAATCCTTCAGAAGTAGAGCGACTGCCACAAACTATCTATCAAGGCCGCAAATTTATTAGTGAAATACAATACAAAAAATACAGGAGAACAAAAAACTCTGAAATAATGTAAAACAACACGAAAAACCACAACTAAACATCACAACCAAATTTACAGTTGAATTTTCGCAACCACACTGCTATCAGTGATTTTCTGCGTGACCAATTTCGACATTCTAGTACAAAAATTACTTATGGCAGCTGTAATTGCCGGTTTCATATTCTTCTCTGAAACTGCGCATGGATCAATGATCTGTTCCGGAGCAATAGACGAGACATTTGAAATCTCTGCTGCTCTACATCAATTCATCTTTTATACTTCCATATGTGGGCACAGTTTTATTCTCATATCGTGACCTGCCTAAGTGTTGAAGATTCTTCTGCTCTAAAGGTCAGACGAATTGTGCTTAAAAAAACTGTTCAATAATCAAATGTTTTATATATTTTTTACAATGAATTTATTTCAATTTATACTCTTAAATCCAATACTGTAATTATTCCAGTTATTTTATACTTTTAGTTTTTCTTGTTTTTGTATACTTTTTATGCAATTTACAAATAAAATGCAAATTTTCTGCGGTCTTGATCGATATATAATTTGTGGTAGTCGCGCGACCTCTGAGGGAATTCTCACACTTCACTCGATGAAGTATGAAGCTGCTGCGAAAACCTCTCGGCATGAAGTTGTGGACGACGAGAGCGCACTTAGGTAGCTTCGCCGCTGCACTGGTGCCAGCTCTGGCGGCTGGATACGGCACCGGACGGCTGGCTGGGTATCGCTTGCACACCTCTCATTCGTAAAATTGAGAAAATTATAGCCAGACGTTCCTCATAACCCATTACGAAAGAAATTTCCCGTTTGTTAATCCCCATCTGACAATTCAATCAATTCAATCTGTTTATTCTGTGAAACAGGCGGCCGATGATGAGCTCTATGTTCGTCCACAGTCGCCTCAGCTCTTCGTTTACGTGCAGTTCTGGGCGGACCACTCCTGCGCTCAAGTGACGTAGAAGCAGTGACACTTTCACGAATGCTCGATGAACATACCATATTTTTTTCGTCAAGTTCTTCATATATATGTGGAAACATTTGCTTGAAACCAGGGCACTAAGAAAAATGTAAAGGTATTTTTGGCACGGTTTTGTAAGCAAAAAAATTCGTTGGTACCGCAAGATTCCAGGCTTTGCTGTCGGCTGCGTACTTGCGACGCGTTGGAGCGGAATCGTTACGAACACCGGCAGCGTAAGTATCTTCGTTCATGAAGCTATGGAGACCTACCTAGAAAAGTTACAACTTTGCGTGTGTGTATACATCGATGTTGAATAAAACGAGTAAGTAAAAAAAATTCCTGAGGCCAGAAAAAAGATTTGAATAGAATTCGAATCTTATATATAAAGCTGAATGTCTGTTTGTCTGTCTGTCTGTCTGTCTGTATGTCTGTCTGTATGTCTGTACGTATGTTCCGAATAGAAAATTCCATTTCTGAACCGATCCGGACCAAACTTGGCACACATACACTACGGACCCCTGCGGGTGTCATAGGCTACTTTTCGTCATCGATCGATATCGATTTTATCGATTTTTATCGATTTTTTTGCTGAGTTCACCTACGGGGCTGGGAGTTGGCACAGGGGGGTAATCGAGCATGGGGATTCCGAATACAATATTGGTTTTCAGGATTATCGACTACTTTTATCGATTTTATCGATTTTTTTGCAAAGTTTGAGCTACGGGGCTGGGAGTTGGCACAGGGGGGTAATCGAGCATGGGGATTCCGAATACAATATTGGTTTTCAGGATTATCGATTACTTTTATCGATTTTATCGATTTTTTTGCAAAGTTTGAGCTACGGGGCTGGGAGTTCGCACAGGGGGGTAATCGAGCATGGGGATTCCGAATACAATATTGGTTTTCAGGATTATCGATTACTTTTATCGATTTTATCGATTTTTTTGCAAAGTTTGAGCTAGGGGGCTGGGAGTTGGCACAGGGGGGTAATCGAGCATGCTGATCATCCCCAAGGGGGGTGATCAGCATGCTCGAACACCCCTGTGCCAAATTCCAGCCCCCTAGCTCAAATTTTCAAAAAATCGATAAAATCGATAAAAGTAATGGACGATCTTGAAAACTAATATTGTATTCGTAATCTGCATGCTCGATTACCCTCTGTGCAAACTCCCAGCCCCGCAGGTCAAACTTTGCAAAAAAATCGATAAAATCGATAAAAGTAATGGACGATCCTGAAAACTAATATTGTATTCGGAATCCCCATGCTCACTTCCCCCCTGTGCCAACTCCTAGCCCTGTAGGTGAACTCTGCCAAAAATCGATAAAATCAATAAAAGCAATCGATAATTCTGAAAACTAATATTGTATTCGGAATCCCTATGCTCACTTCCCCCCCTGTGCCAACTCCTAGCCCTGTAGGTGAACTCTGCAAAGAAAATGATAAAAATCGGTAAAATCGACATCGATCGATAACGAAAAGTGGACTGTGACACCCGCCGGGGCCCGAAGTGTATGTGTGCCAAGTTTGGTCCGGATACGGCGGAGCCGGGTAAGCCAGCTAGTAACTAATATAAAAATCGACTAAATCAATCTATAGCTCACCAAAATAGCTGAAACTGTCCATCCAGGATTCCATGATTCAGGATGGAAATCCGATATGGACAAACAGAGGCGAGTGTTGGTTTCGAACCTGAACAGAAATTTATCACTTAAACAGGCATTGAAGTCGACAGTAGAAGCGAATATGTCACCTTCCATTTGGGGTAAGCATGCAGATTGCAGGAGGTTTCCAAGGAAAGTCTGGTTGGAAAACCAGTTTGCCGTAGTAATAACCACCTGAACAGATGCTTCACCTGAACCTCTAGTATGACTGTCATTAGCAAAAACCAAAGTCTACAAATAAAGGAATGTCGTCAAATAACAACTAAGACTCGCCTTCATAGGGAGTGTCTGGTGACCCTCTAATGACGTAATGCCATTCTAAGATGTTTGACTCATTCGGTACAGCAATAATTCCATCTATAGGTTCGCTCAACAGCCTCTGAAAGTCGCGCTGAAGCCGTCGAACCGCAGTTGGACTGGGTTGCCCACTTGGTTGCGGGAATGGTTCCATCTGCAGATGACTGGTGAAACGAAAAGAAAAGAAGAATGGAATGTATATATGCGAGCAACATACATATAATCGCGAGGAAATTACCAATTAACAAGTCATGACTCAGAGCGTTTATGTTTATTTAGCTAAAAATACTATTGCTAGGGTACAGATAATTACGCAATAGTGCACATTCCCATATAACATTATGTAAAACAAATGAACCACCGATAAAAAGACAAGATTAACATACACACGAAAGCTGCTTGATTTAAATTATATAGGCTGCAATCCCGTGCTACTAGAGGAGAGGGTGACAGTGAACATCATGAGATTGTTTCAACAACAGTGTCAGTGAATTAGAAGGTTCTGAAAGAACTTCACAGATAATTTGACAGGAAATGTCTTAGGTAAGGAAGAGCATGCAATTTACAGTAAATCACCGCCGGTGGGACTAGATTTGTTGGGTGGTTGTACTGTTCTCCGTATCTGAAAATACATACATGACTTATCAATTGCAGTGTCGGGTGCACCAGCATCTCAATTCCGCGCTGGACTCTGCACCTCTTCCGCAAACACGCTCTTTAATCATAGCCAGTCGATTGAGGCTCCACCTTTCCCACGCTTGCGGTGGGAAAGTGATTAGAGAGCATGTTTACGAAAGAGGCGCAAAGTTCAGACGAAGCCGCCGCGCGAAAGAGCAGATGCTGGTGCTCCAGACACTGCAGTTGATAAGCCCTGTATTTGCTGAAACAATGCTGATTTTGAGAGCGAACTGACCGAAGAACTTCCAGGTGGAGGAGGTAGTAATGGCACTGCACCTCCGGCTGGTGGGTGAGGTCGTGGTCGAGGATGCGTTTGACCGTCAGGGCCTTTCTTCTAAATCACTATAATATGTAACAAGTCCTTGTTTACCACTTTGCTCCCCCAGATCCGTGGAACACGGCAAGTGAGGAGACAGCAGGCGCAGAAATTATGACTAAATACACTGAGTCCTTGCCAAGCGGTGGCATGCTTTTCGGAAAGCTGTCAAATTCATAATTGAATGACTCAAGCATGTTTTCGTGAATGGGTCAGATGTATTTCGAAAGGCAATCAAGAGTGTTGAGCTGCAATGACTTAACTGTCATTATTGTCTGGGCTTGTTATTTGTAGAAACTGATTTTCCATGCTTGTTATTCCAGAATGTGTTGATCGGTACTATACTGTAGTCTTAAATTTGCTTTTGAAATGATGCCAAATTACTTAACAGCATGACTTGAGCTAAATTCATGTATGTTCTTGGCTCTTGGTAAAAATCCTCTAAACAGTCACATAGAGGTCATCTTGCTTCCACTTGCAGACGAGAGAGTGCGTAGTACTTGGATAAACGCTGGTACTTTTGACAGCATTTATCTGGGATCTAGCAAAATTTAGTCCAATGGTCCAAAAGCAAAAACGGGCACTGCGCAATCGCGAAAGTCAGTAAGTTTCCGGCCATTGCACATGCAGGATGCCGCAAAGCCTCAGACCAGTAAACAATTATGTATTTCAAATCGCTTCGCGCGTAACTGAAAGCTAATCTGAGAGCAGAAAAGCGTTCAACAGGAGAAAGAAGACAAGGAGAGCTGATATGCGAGCAATGGCCGCAGACTCACCGAACTTCACGATCACGCTTCACAATATGTTCTTTTCATATAACAGTCTAAATTAAAATTTTCAAAATTGTTGACTCACGCCAATATTGATAGATATAGTCTGTCCCTCTTTGAAAGCAAGGTCTAGACTAGGCTGAGAAGCTGGTGCCTGCGCCAGCTCGGCAGCTTTTTCGATGTATTTGAAATGATCCTTAATTAGGAATAAAAATATGCAAATGATAACAAAACCGATTTTGAGAGATAGAACTTCTAGAACCTGTAGGGCGACATTGAGATCGAAAGAGTCTCCTCGATCAGCGAAACCACAACCAACAAAGGCAGTTTGGCCTGCGTCATTCCTTAGACGAATAACGAAATATCGTGAAGAGTCAGTAACTGGTTCAATGCAAACACCGGGAAAAGCGTCAATAGGGCACTTTGCGTATAATGCGCCTGAAAGAAAAATGAAGACATGAACTTCAACACCTGAGAAAGTAACATATATCGTGTGTGCACTAAGGTGGTTTGTGGTAGAACGGTTTTATCCTTATCAGACTTCACACAAGTAGGCGTTGCCTTTAAGATAGACGCTACGCGAACAACGATTAATACGCCGTGCCGCATTTGTTGCGTCGCAAAATGCGACAGCGTAATACAAGGTCTCTATAAGCCAACAGATCAAAATAGTTACTTGATTAAGACCTATAATCATGTAAGCAATCCCATCAAACACTTTGATGTGAAGTTCTAAACAAAACCGCACATAACGTCTAAACTGTTAAAAGGGTTCAGTTAACGAGTAGAAAAGGGAAAATGGGAAGGTATGCATAATCATTTCGATAACAGATGAGGGAAAGGTAACAAACTACAAAGAAAAACAAGCCTATAATGTGTAGCATCCATGTTGACCCCAGCAAAAGACTGATTATATATGTACGCAGCATTATTTCATCATAAACCAATGAGTGTTTCTTTTCCTGCAAATGGGAAGATGTGTCACCTCATCTGTCACGTTTGAGAAATGTCCGCCAACCACCTATGTAGCATGCACATGTAGTTTAGGTAAGTGGCACAACGATACGATGCCACATACCGCACCGTCCCATCAAAATAGTTCAGACAGAAGCTATGACATGCGCGCCGAGAATTTTTATTTTCATTTTTTTTCTCGAGCTGCACACCATAACAACAACAACGGGAAGCAATCTGCAGCAAGATTTACCACTGTGATAAGGGAAGAAAATGGTTAAAAAAATCGACAGAGATGCTAAGAATCAATCAACATGGTCAAGAATAACATTGTATGACTTTTCGAGGCTATTTTCACGAAGGCTCCAGCGATTAGTGTTATCGTTGTTACCGCCATTACGACTGCTACCGTTGATACTTCTGTCACAGTGTCATATGATGGATGACCCACAGCAAAGTCTCATTCCTCCGATAGTATTTTCCTACTTGTGAGTGCAATACTGACACCAGCAACAGTCACTGGGAAGGTCCGGTACAGATCGAATGGAACAAGTTGGACTTCGTTTTTGGGACAAAAAGCACAGGGGATCGTTTTTACAAAGTCCGGGGCGGAGCGCCGGGACTGTACATGCAATGCCAGCGAAGTATCACGAATCATAACACGCAAAGACTGGGCGCCGTTGCGTCCGGTCAAGATAGTTCGTGCATGGGAGAGACAGCAGATAGTAAGAGAAAGGAAAGACTGCGCGGTCCGAAAGCGACCACTGAGTCAAGCACAAGCTGAAGAGAGGTTATTACATGATGAAGCAGGTCCACTACATGATGGACGTGCTTCGTCATGTCTTGCGAAAAGCGCGTGCGATTTGAAAGCAAAGCCAAAATCAACAAATTGCTCGCTTACAGCGTAGAGACAAGCAGACACCAGATGTGAACTTTAAGCATAGACTATTATTTACAGAAGGATATGTAAAGAGTTCTGAAAACTTTTATGTGAAGTAATGCCTTTTCCAAAATCGGTCTGTTCCCAAACGGTCACAAGAAGATCAACTTAGACGATTGTTACATACCGCCCTGAGATCGTTTGGAGCATATATATTTGTAAGTTCACGTATTTGATTTTACAATCATGGATGGATTCCCCGATTAAAAATTTATCCCTGAGCATGAAGACATTTCGTATCATTGCCTTTCCTTTGCTTGATTTCTTCATACTTTGCTAGATATCGCGCTCCAATGCCAAAATCTTGTAGGTAGGTGCCAGAGTAAGGCAGGCGCCATGCTTAATCCGCTTGATCCGCTTCATCATTGGTCAATTCAGCGAACTGACCAATAGTGGAATGGATGAAGCGGATCAAGTGGAAAGCGGATCAAGTATGGCGCGTGCCTAAGCGAATATTTTGTTCAGGTTGGGGTCCCGCAGAATTGACGTCACTTGGATTGATGCCAGCATAGTGACGTCAATTCTGCGCGGGACCCCAACCTGAAATATTCGCTTAGGCCCGTATGCACGTACGTCCCCGCTGGGGAGGGGAGGGGAGCTGGATCCCCAGGGGAACGATCCCCTCCGCCGAACCCCGCCATGACAGAGGGGAGGGGAGCGACCCCCTCCCCTGCACCTAAGCGGGGATGGTGTGAATGATTTCAGAGATATTGATCGAGCGAACCCCAGTGCATACGGGGTTCGAATGGGGGAGGGGATCCCTTCCCTTCCCCCACTCGAACCCCGTATGCGCGAATTCAAATCAATAACGCGGGGGAGGGGATCGACATCCCCTGCAACGAAGTAGGGGTTCGATGGTGTAGATCATGCCAGAGACGCGGATATTCTGGTTCTGCTCAGTCATTACCAAGCATTTCGTTCATTTTGATGGAGGATTTTCTTTGAAAGCCGGGTTCTTCTCTCAGCGACCTGTGGCTTGCAATTTGTCTTTCTTTTCTATATTCGCCTCTTGAGAAGAAATCCGAGCAACAATAGCTGCCAATTTCGATTATTTGTAGGAGTTCTTGATCATTCAGGAAATTTGCGCATTTTTCATATAACATAATAGTTTTAGCTATATAGGCTGAATAAACACACTGTAACTTTCATATTTCATGACATGTTGCCATTATCTTGTTTTTTTAACATAAGCTGCCTCGAAAATCTAGAAAGTAGCATATTTGCCTATTTCTGAGTAGAAATCCCCTAGGGAGTGATCCCCTCCCCAGCGTTCCCCTTGTGCATAGCAGGGATGGCTGCTGGGGATCATTCCCCTGGGATAAACGACGATATGCAGCTGATAGTTACAGCGTTTATGGAAAGCTGGCACAATTTGCAGTTTCTGTTATGTTTAGAATACTGCTTTGAGCGTCCGCGCGGCACCCCCCCCCCTTTTCGGCAGCATAACGTCTTCTACCCATTCCCTTGCAGAGACACATCAACTTCTATAGTTCAACATTTTGACGCTGAAATGGAGCAGCATGAACGAAAGTGGGCAGCATCCAAGAAAGCAGGAACATAATGAGAGTAGAAAAAATCATTTTTAGCGCCCCTAGCGCAGTCACTGCATACGCACATTCCGCAACCCTAAATTAATTGAAGTGAGGAGATGAAGATGAGTTGCAGTCAAAATATGAAATAAGAAAGAGTTTTTCATAGAAAATTTGAAGGCAAGGTGATTTCCCCGCTTGATCCCCTCTTGTGCATAAGAGGGTTCACTTCCCCTCCCCACAGGGGATCCCTTGTACGATATTGTCTTTGTGCATACGGGGGTTCGCGCGGGGAGGGGAGGGGATCCCCAGCGGGGATCATTTCAATGGTTAAGCGCACATCCCCTCCCCGCGGGGATGTACGTGCATACGGGCCTTACTCTGGCACCTCCCTACATACAGTAAGGCTGCGTTCATACTGATTCCCTTGTTCTGGAACTGTTCCCGCACAGTTCTCGCACTGTGCGGGAACTGTGCGGGAACTGTGCGGGAACAGTTCCAGCACTGTGCTGCATGCGCTGCAGCCGCCCCGCACCGTGAACGGCGGGAGTTGGAGAATTTTGACCGTTTCCAACGGTTTTTCTTCCAGATTTCGCTCATTTTGGCCTTAATCCTCCACCCCACTTCCCTTTTTGATCAGCAGCACTGCGAACTCGAAGCGGGGTTGAAGAATGAGCGCTTTTCTGCGCCTTGTATTCGGAAAGATGGGCTATCGTGCGATTGTTCATTCTGTCTTCTTGTTTTTTGCTCAAAACTACTTCATTTGTTCCAGGAAGCGGCTGCCCAGTTTCCATAGCCATCTGCCACGAATTAGGGAGTAAAAGCACTTCTGAAACTGCATGAGTTGGGACTTGTCTCTTGTTTTTCATGATTTTGGGCGTTCTTAGCCTTGTTCGTTTTTCCATGTCGTTGCTTCTCCGTTCTTTCTTCTACCCCGCTTCTCCTAGTGATGAGAAAAGCTGTGAATTTGAAGCGGGGTTGAGGATTGAACGCTGTTCTGCTCCATGTATCCGGGAATATGGGCCTTCGTGCGCTCGTCCATCTTCTCTGTTTTTGTTCAGGCCTACTTTATGTGTTCTAGAGACTTGTCTATGTCATTTCAATACAGATGCGAAACTACGCAGCGACTTGCTAGTACATATGAAGTAGGTTTGAACAAAAATAGCGATGAGAGAATGGACGAGCGCACGAAGGCCCATATTCCCGGATACATGGAGCAGAACAGCGTTCAATCCTCAACACCGCTTCAAATTCACAGCTTTTCTCATCACTAGGAGAAGCGGTGTAGAAGAAAGAACGGAGAAGCAACGACATGGAAAAACGAACAAGGCTAAGAACGCCCAAAATCATGAAAACCAAGAGACAAGTCCCAACTCATGCAATTTCAGGATTTCTCCTACTCCCTAATTCGTGGCAGATGGCTATGGAGACTGGGCAGCCGCTTCCTGGAACAAATGAAGTAGTTTTGAGCAAAAAACAAGAAGACAGAATGAACAATCGCACGATAGCCCATCTTTCCGAATACAAGGCGCAGAAAAGCGCTCATTCTTCAACCCCGCTTCGAGTTCGCAGTGCTGCTGATCAAAAAGCGAAGTGGGGTGGAGGATTAAGGCCAAAATGAGCGAAATCTGGAAGAAAAACCGTTGGAAACGGTCAAAATTCTCCAACTCCCGCCGTTCAAAACGGTGCGGGGCGGCTGCAGCGCATGCAGCACAGTGCTGGAACTGTTCCCGCACAGTTCCCGCACAGTGCGAGAACTGTGCGGGAACAGTTCCAGAACAAGGGAATCAGTATGAACGCAGCCTAAGTTCCGGCCCGCTTTAGGCGGAAATTGAATTGGCGGGATTCCGCCCCGCAACAGTTCGCGCTGTTTCGCAGCTACAGTATATCATGTCGTGCTGAGAACCCAAGCCTGCGCTCTCCATTCCCCTTAGTCTTTGCTTGGCAAAATGCCAGCGCTATGCGCTCGCGAAGCCTCCAGCGATGCGTATGCGCTGCTCCACCTAGAATGTTCGCCTAATCCGGGATAAAACCGACTGTACACTCGGTTTCAATCCCCGAATTAGGCGAGACAGTACACAGAACAGCGTATGCGCATCGCTGGAGCCTTCGGTAGGTGCCAGAGTAAGCGAATATTTTGTTCAAGTTGGGGTCCCGCGAACTGGCATCACTAACCATTGTGGCATAATGCCAACTTGGCGTTGTGCCACAATGATTAGTAACGCCAGTTCTGCGCGGGACCCCAACTTGAACAAAATATTCGCTTACTCTGGACCTACCTTCGCGAGCGCATAGCGCTGGCATTTTGCCAAGTAAAGACTCGGAGAATGAAGAGACGCAGACTTGGGTTCCAGCATACCGTGGCTACAAAATGGCGCGAACCATTCCGAGGCGGATGCCCTCCAATCCAATTCGCCTGAAGCGGGTGGAAACTTACTGTAATATCCAGCTCCATTTTGGATTTTCACTTCTCATGTCTTTTCATTCAGACTAGTAACTTCTTGTTTTCATCTTTTCCTAAGTGGGCAGGAAAGAAAACTTCGTAGAGCTTCCATATGTCAATAAAGACTTCGTTTTCAAAGACCCTTGAAACCGACTCGTGCCGAGCCCTGGTCACCGATAACAGCGATAAGAATGGTAACAGCATAACAGCGGCAGTTTATGGGAGAAGCCCCCTATTCTTCTCACTTATGTTGGAATTCCAATCAATACCGTAGAAATTCTAATCGATAAGCGCGTTCTGATGAAAGAATTTCAGAAGTTTGAGCCAGTAACAGAAGTTAACGTCTACATGATGGAACCTTGAAGAGATGGCTCAAGCGCACGGACAATTCCAGGAAATGATTAAAAAAGGAGTTGAGATACACGAAGCACCGGATATCGGCTGGAAGTCGGAGACATGATAAGGGACGAAAGCGCTCGGAAGGTTGGCATTAATCGAAAACTCTCTATGCAAAACTGAGCAGATAATAAAGGATCGTTATCGAAACTACCGAAGAACTTACCTGTGGTTTTATCTTCTAACCGAAGTTCTAAACGTTTGCCGATAGACACTAATTTCATCCGACCAGTCCAATCGGGAGCATCTAATTTCCAGTCTGCAGCCCTGTGGAGAAAAGCATAAATGGGAAAAGCAAAGATGACGTGATAAGCAGACAGCACTCACTTATGTCCTCTATTCGTACCCATTGGAGGTATGCGATATACAAAAATTTCTGGTTTCACAAGCGCTATACTTTCGTACTCCTCTTCCATTTGTTTTTATAGATACTGGGACATATATCACAGTTGAGAGATATATCACAGTAGTACTCAAGCACTAGAGATTCAACCAAGTCAAGTGAGCATGGCAGAGCGAAAACTTCCCAGATACAACGCAAAACATGATGCAACACTATGGATCACGTGGCAAAACACCGTGTACTATGTTAGGAATAATGTTGGGCAGAAAAGAGGATTAGAGAATTATAACACCAAATTTTATAGCAGGACCATTCTTCTTGAACGAAATCCATATTGATGATGGAAATCGACGTCGTTGTGATAATTTGTACGGCGGCTGCGACAGCTGGTTGATTCGAGCGCCGAATGGTTCGCGTTTACACATTGGCACATTTTCGACTCTGAAAGAAGCTCATTAGATATCTTCTTGTCTATTCTTGTAGCTTAGTAGGATGGACTGCCTTCTTGGCTATTCCGAGCAGAATACTTGTAACTTCATGTTGGGAATAACTTATTTCGAAATCATTGTTCCTGGTATATAAGCCTTGTACTATGAATCAGGATCTTTCTGCGCATGTTTATTCTCATTATTCATCATTAAACTACAAATTTTACTTTCTGCTACACAGTTGTGCTCACGTGCAAAGCTGTCATAGCGTAGGGGTAGCGATGATCTCATATATGAGTCAGACATTGAAAAGCCACAAACTTTACAGCAAGAAACTTCAGACCCTGTCCAGGCTGCTCACTCCTTTTACTTCTGAACCTTTGATGGCTGTGATATACTTTCAGAGATGAAGTTTAGAAATAAACGGAAAGCCAGCGAATGTTAGAAAAACGGCAATGTCTCTTTAGGGGCAGCAACCCTTTACTGGTAATGATGGGATTCTACAGCGTTGCAGTGGCAGCCCCCCCCCCTTGTTCCCAACAAAGCGATGTCTACGAAATTTGGGCCCGTATGCACTAACATTTCTGCGGCGAGGGGAGCGGCGTCCCCCGTTATGAAGGGACCGCGTGCGGACGCCGCTGCGACTTTTTCATCATTGGGGACGCCGCTCCCCTCGCCGCAGGGATGTTAGTGCATGCGGCCCTTGGTTCGGAAAGCTCCGGACCCTACTTAGGTCCGTATGCACGTACATCCCTGCTGGGGAGGGGAGGGGAGCTGGATTCCCAGGGGAGCGATCCCCTTTATTGAACCACGCTATGCCAGAGGGAGGGGAGCTATATCCTCCCCTGCACCCACAGCGGGGATGTACGTGCATACGGGCCTTAGGCCCGGCACGTACATCCCCGCTGGGGAGGGGAGGGGATCTGAGAGGGGATGCGTCATATCTCGCTACCCTACAAATCATTTTTCTTCTTTCTCAGTCTTGCTTATAAGGTTTTTCATACACTTATACCTGCGCATAATGGATGCCAGGTTACTTCCATACAGGATGGGTTTTTTGCCTCGTTTGATCCCCAGAGGATCCCCAGGAGATCTACTGGGGATCACCTCTCATTTTCAAAGTGATTTATCGTCCTGAGAAGTCAATGAAAAAGCTGTAAAATTGTACTGAGGATATACTACGGCACTGCTAAGCATATTTCAGACAGGAGAAATGGAATCTGAAGATAGTGAATTTTTCGATGATCCCTGGCTCGCGAGCTAGGGATTACCGAAGATTTCGATATTCTGGGATTCCACTTTTTTCTACTGTAAACTTCTTTAGCAGCGCCGTAGTATGTCCACAATACATATTTACAAAGTTTAATTGAGTTTTCAGGGAGATAAATGATATTAAAATTGAGAGCTGGTCCCCAGGGGATTCCCTGGGAATTCAATATAAAATCTAATCAATTACGCCAGTAACCTTTTATCAATTTCACGCAGGTGTTAGGGTATGAGAACCCTGATAAGCAAGATAGAGAAGGAAAAAAAAGATAACTAGAGTAGCGAGATATGACGCATCCCCTCTCAGATCCCCTCCCCTTCCCAACGGGGACGTACTTGCATACGGGCCTTAGTTTCGTATTCTGCTCAACGTTTTATTAGGGTTTGTTACCGCTAGGAAGAGAAGATTTAGAAGGTCGGATTCGCCAGCCATTGCCTTGCAATAATATCTAGCGTCCCTGATCCATGAATGGATGACATTTGAGTTGCAGTTTAAGGAAAGCCTGGGCAAAGCCAGGTCCGGGCAAGAAGAGGATTTTGAGGTTTTGTGCTTACCCGGGCCTTTCGCTACGCTGAATCCGAAAATCGACACTGGATAGCGCAAAAAGGGCGAAGTAGGGCTCTAGCGCAGGAGGGGAATCAGCACGTGGGCGGGTCTTCCCCAGTGTAAGTTCACGCTCCCAGTTTCCGAAGCGATCTTCTCGGTACCGATTTAAAGTCACGCGTTCGCAATTGGCCGGTGGCGATGCCAGGGCGGCCAGCGGAATCGAGAAGATCGGTGCGAAAGCTGGGAGCGTGAATTCACAGTGGGGAAGGCCCACCAATTTGCTGACTTCCCTCCTGCGTCAGAGCCCTTCTTCGCCGTTTTCGCGCTATCCAGTGTGGGTTTTTGGATTCAGCACAGCGAATATACCCGAGTAAGCAGAAAACCTCAAAATCGGCTTTTTGCCGGGAAAATTCGATTTTCAGATCTTGTGCTTACCCGGGCCTATTCGCTGAGATGAATCCGAAAATCCACACTGGAGAGCGCGAAGAAGGGTTCTAACGCAGGAAGGAAATCAGTTGTAGGCGGGGTCTTCCCCACTGTGATTTCATGGTCCCGGCTTCCGGGGCGATCTTCTCGATTTTGCTAGCCGCCCTGACATCTCCACAAGCCAAGTGCGAATGCGTGACTTGAAAGCGGAACCGAGAAGATCGCTCCAAGAGTTGGGACCGTGGATTCACAGTGGGGAAGGTCCCACCCATTTGCTGAATTCCCTCCTGCGTTAGAGCCCTACTTCGCCCTTTTTGCACTCCAGTGTGGGGTTTCGGATTCAACACATCAAATATGCCCGCCCGGGTTAGCGAAAAATCTCAAAATCGTCTTTTTGCCCGGACACTGCCTTTTAAAGACAGCGTCCAGGCAAATCTGGACATATGGAGATCTCACGTGATTAGTAATTTTGGGGCCCTAACTAAGCTGCCCAACCGCCAGCTTAGATGGTACTCTAACGGCTAAGGTATTCCCGTCACTGGACCCTAGGATCGCACTTCGCATGTCATGCCAGACACGGTTGTTGCGATATAGTCATTGTCCCGCCACGCTTTCCTCTTTGTTAAGGCTGCGTTCATACTGATCCGGAAGTTCGGGAGCAGCTCCAGCGCTGCGCTCAGTTGGAGCGCTGTGCTGAAACTGTTCCCGAACTTTAAGATCAGTATGAAAGCAGCCTAAGGACGAGACTGAATTGAAGGGCGTTATCTCGGGATTTTAGCGATTTTTTCGCTCCATAAGCAGTATTTTGCAGTCTCAAACAAGCTCTGGCTTGCCTATGGCACCCGCCATACTTGATCCGCTTGATCCGCTTCATCATTGGTCAATTCAGTGAACTGACCAATAGTGAAGTGGATGAAGTGGATCATTGCTCAATTCACTGAATCGACCAATGACGAAGCGGATCAAGTGGATTAAGCGGATCAAGTATGGCGGGTGCCTATGGAGCCGCTTCAAAATCTCTGCAATCTGCTCCCAAATTGCAATCGCGCTCCAGTGTTTGGCATTAGAGCGCGATTGTTGGTGCAATTCGAGAATTTCATGACATCACTCTCTTCTCACTTCCATTTTTAGTCTCTGTGGTATTCCTGCGAATCATAATCGTTTATGCTTCAACATTTCGCGTCATTGTAGTGGTAAGGAAGTATATTGCAGGTAATGGAGGAGTCACTAGAAGATCGGCTTTTGGCGATAGAGAAGGTTCTAGGTATAGACGAGTATTCAAGTGTAAGTTCTCCCATTCTTTGATATTAAAATCATAATTCTGAAAGCAGGTGTAATATGCCTCACGAATGTGACTGTTTTCAAGCCTACACCAACCCATTTTGCTCAATTCTTTTTTTGAACTTAGGCAAAGAAAGCAGACTTCGATGTGGCATCGTTGCAAGAGAAAATGACTGATTTGGGTTTGGAACGGGTAATGAAGATCCCTTTGTCAAAGCTGAAGAAACTGAAGAGCATAACAAGCAGGGTTCGTTTATTCGGCATAGACTTTGTGGATATTTATCTATATTTCATCTTGCATCTCGCTTAAGCCACAAGCTCAACCATTATCCGAGCAGTTGGCTACAATTGAATTTTGTGAAAATCTGATCCGACAAAGAGCAGAACTGTTGAAGGAATTTGAGGAACGTCTTCAGGTACGAGTCTAACCTCTCGCTCCATTCTTATTGCTTTTATATTCATGAATTCGTTTCTCTTGAGTGCTTCGAAGTTGTCAGTGCGATTTAGGTCGTCCTCAATGCGGAAAAAATCGGGTCTGTCGCGCAACAGGAAGCACAACTTGATGGGATCCAGTCGGATATTCAGAAAGGACTAGATGAATGGAAGCAGTATGTTTAGGCTATACTTGGTGCTTCCGCTTGGTCTGTTCTATTGAGATGCGTTATTGTTTTAGGTACACCCTAGATCTCGAAAATTTCAAAACAGAGTACTTCTCTGTGATTGCAGCGTTGCAAGAACGTCTAGAGGAGCTCGAAAAAGCGGTGAGTCTTTTTAAATCCATTCTTTTTTTCCAATAGAATATTTCACCTCCTTTAGGTTGCTGCTGTTGAACGCGAATCGGAAGCATAAATCATGTAGATAGTGCTGTAATTATTCTTGTATCATTCTCGTCTCGCTAGTGTTAAATTATACAGCTTATTTATCGGCTTTATCTATCCTGTCCATAGCCAGTATTGTGATAAGCCGTACTTCTTTACTGGTCGTGTGCGCTTAACCCTTTGAGGGTTGATGAAAATTAGTCATCACACGTCTTTTGCTGAATCCAAGTTTTCGATCTCTTCTTAGTAAGCAGTCTTTTTCATATTAGGAGATAGTGCGCTATGCACTGGCTTTGCTGTTGCTGTTGCTGTGGATTCGATTTTTATCGGGTTTAAGACGACACGTCAGCGCTATGAGTGTGTTTATGAGGTTTTTACCGCGCAAGCGGAACGTATCGACAAAATTGCGCGACATCGACGACTGTGTTGCTCTAGGCAGTTCTCTATAACACTAGTTTATATGACGATCGGCACGCATGGGTCCGCGCAACACATCATTGCAATCACAAAATGGGCCATTTTTGTACTATCCGAATCGAGGTGAGCATAAAGGGAGGCGGAGGCTTTTTTTACTCAAAGGGTTGAGTGATTTGATTAGTTCATTGCATAGCTTCTTGTTTGTTGCATAATAAATGTGGTGTTCATATCATTTTTGCGTTATGATTCATTGTGCGTACTGTGCCAAAACTGTATGTAGTAGTAGCTAAATAAACCGTACATACTGCGTCGTAGTACTGCACAGCAGATAGAGCAAATCACATATGTCGAGCATACCATTAGGGAGCTTGGAGCGCTGATTTTAAATGTGCTCTCCCTATTTGCGAAGCACTCCGGAAAAATGAGTCATGAGTATTTTTTGGGGTCGAAAAATGGCTTAACACGTTTCGGACCGCGAAATCGCGCGCGGCGAAAAAGGGTGCACTTTCAGTCGTTAGCCAACACAGGGACCTTATCTCGCAAACTATGTGCTACATCTGCAAACAGCTTGTCAGATAAGTTCCATACAAAAAGTTCTGAGTGGATTCGAAGTGTTTGAATTTTGCCGCTTGTGCAGTACTTTTGTGCTTTCCTGGAAGATAGGAACAAGAACTCAGTTTCTAATAGTATCCAAAAGTATCCATGTTGTAGACGGTACATATCAGCATTGAAACCACAGTTTTTCTCTTTGATATCGAAGCAAAGGGAAGTTGCGACGTCGCACGCGACGTTCGCGTTGCCGCATTCCGTTGCAACTGTTGTTCGATTTGTGCTCATATCTCCTAAACAGATATCGGCGGCACAATTTTACAGAGTCACTTGAAAAGAAGAAGCTTAGGCCTTTGACTTTATAACCCTGGACTAAAAAAAAACCTCTTCCTATTATCAAAAAGATCCTTGAAAGACGCGTGCTGCACCATGTGCAGCACCGGTCCGAAACGTGTTAAAGGTAGTGTCCGGGCAAAAGGTCGATTTTGAGATTTTGTGCTCATCCGGGCCTATTTACTAAGCTAATCTGAAAATCCACACCGGAGGGCGCGAAAACGGCGAAAATGCTCTAAAGCAGGAGGGAAATCAAAAATGGGCAGGTCTTCCCTACTGTGAATTCACGGTCCCAGCTCCCGCAGCGATCTTCTCGGTTCCGATTTTGAAGGCAGTGTCCAGGCAAAAATTCGATTTTTGGAAAATCCACTTACCGGGTCTTACCCGCTACGCTGGATCCGAAAATCCACATTAGGCCCTGGTCAGACTTCACGCGACTTAATCGTCGCGATCTAATCGCCAAGATTTCCATTCATTTTCATTTCACATTCAAAATTTTCGGGCTGGAAAAGTGTCACAACCGAATGGAAGTTGATCGGCATGGAATGATGTTGTAACAGTTGTCTCGTCGCGATTCAGTCGCGACGATCAAATCGCGTGAAGTCTGCCCGGGGCCTTAGAAGTCAAGAAATTGGCGAGAACATGCGTTTTCCAAACCTTACAATTTGAAATGCTACGGTCCCAGCCAAGGCTAAGATGCAGAGTCTCTGCAGGACCCTACGATTTTGACTGTGGCCTAGGAGCGACCTAAACAGGTCGGAGGATCCCGGGTGGGAGAACGAACACCTCAATTCGGCACGGGCTGCTGGTCCTTCCGTCCTACTGTTGTGCATCGTGTTAGGACCATTGGTCCGCGAAGGCGGTGCCTAATTGAGGTGTTCGTTCCTCCACCCAGGATCCCGCGCCAAGGCGAAAATTTCCCCACTTCCCGATCGTTTTTTTTTCTTTGGGTCGAACGTTATGATCTGGTACTTGCGCGATGCGTGTCTGAGGGGCCACTTTGCATGGCATGAAATCCCAAACACCCCACCTTGTCCGGACACTGCCTTTAAGTCACGCATTCGCACTTAGCTTGTGGAGATGTCAGGGCGGCTAGCGGAATTGAGAAGAGCTCCGAGAGCCAGAAACCGTGAATTCACAGTTGGGACCCCGCCCACTTGCTGATTTCCCTTTCGCGTTAGAGTCCCTTTTCTCCGTTTTCGCGCTCTCCAGTATGGATTTTCGGATACAGCATAGCAAATAGGCCTGTAAGCACAAAATCTCAAAATCTACTTTTTGTCCTGACACTGCCTTTAATGGCCGAAATAAAATCAAACGCTACAGCCTTGACTTTAGTTGAAGCTGCAGCAAGTCAGGATACAATAAGCTCCTTCTGCCTAGCATATCAGTATTTCTTATTTCTCCACTTGAAGTCCAGAAAGGCTGAAACGATTAATTCTGTTTTGGTTGTTCATTTTCCCCCCAAAAAGTGCTCATAACTTCTTTTAAAGGTGGTCTGCACATGCGTAAAGCAGATTTGGAAGAAAAAAGCAAGCTGTACAAAATGACCACCCAAGCCTTGATTTAAGTAATTAGGGCCAGAATCAGAAAATTTTGTCGCCGGAAAACTGTACATTTGCGGAAAAAATCCTATGAGGCTCCAAACTAGTCGTCATACAGAAGGTACAAAGTAGTATCCATCAAAGCAATTGCTGTAATTTTCCGCGCGTAGGAATGAAAAAAAAACGAGAAATGGTAAAGCCTGCCCCCTTGCTGCAAGTCCTAGTGTAAGGCTCGGCATAGTTCCGCAGATCAGCTAAGACTAAGATCGGTGAAAATGTCTTAGGTGAGGTGGTTGGTATTTGCCGGCCTTAACGAACTCAATTCCCAACAACTATTTATTAGCAAGGAGGCAAATCATGCGGGTGGACAAAACGAGTGACCTAGCTAACAAAGAGGAGCAGACTACAAAAGAATCATACGTGAGCCGTCGGCCAGCGGCGGTGAATCATGATGGCCGATACTGAGTGAATAAAGGTGCAATCACTACCTACAAGACCATAAGACAAGAGTAAAGAGTTCAAAGAGGAGATTGGGAAATTACATCAAACGAAAGTAAGAGAAAGGTACGGGTGCACACCGAGGATTTCCTACGGCCTCTTATATACACTTCTACTAATGGATATAAACATACATAGTCACATAAAACATATAATAAAATGGCATTCAAGTGAACATTGCCTAATGGAAGATACACAAACTTTCTAACGGGTCCATTTATCCTTCGATAGTTTCCATGAATTTTTTTCTCTTGTCCTGCTAGTTCATTTTCGTCATGTTCGATGTCACTTCGCTGCTGCGATGTTTGCTTACTCACTCGTTATGTTAACATGGAGTCCGCTGTTCGCACATATGCGGAATACTTGACAAAGCACGTTACATCTACGGGGGATCGAAAGGTTGCGTCGCGCAATCTGAACATTAGAGAATTATGACTCCAAAGGTAATCAGCGTTTGTTCGTTGGTTTTTCTTTCAGGGGCATCGGGAGTCGTCAAAGGCTCCTTCTCTTGATGGATCTTCTGCATCAATTGATCCTAAAAACGACGATACTTTGTATTAAATAAATCCTTTCCCATTTTTGTGTGCACACATCACTACTGTATACATGTCCAATGCGGCTCGCGCCCAAGGCAAATGGAATGGTTGCGCAGCCGGTGCCCTGACGCGAGTTCCAAATCCTAATTAACTACTAAAGTGCCATTTGCGTTGCCCATAGTCCATGTTCCGCATACGGGTCGTCTTGCGCAACCATTATCTTTAGACCGGTCATCAAATCCAATACATCAAACTACTTCTAAATGAGGGAATAAGGATCTGCCTGAACGTGGAAGATATTTTCCGATGCCTTGCGAAACGGAGCTCGCGATTACGAGGTACCTCTAAATACTCCGTCATCACTTGATCTTAGAGGTGGATTCCAATTGGAGCCGACAATAGCTTGCGTTTTTCCCTCTTCTCTTCCGTAGACGTCAAAATGATCGTTGATGTTTCGTTTGGTTATTGACTTTATCATTAAGACCGAGGCTGTACTGGCGCCTTTACAGTCTCGGTGATATCCACTGGATTTGTCAATGTTTGCCAATGCATTACTGCCTTGCCAAAGTTGGATCGTACATCTTGATTCACTTCCCGAGGAGTAGCGATAGTACGCGGTGAGTCTTAGTTCTCTTGCTTTCATCCTGTAGAATAGTATCACTAACATTATTAATGATACAAAAACTTTTACAATTCTGTGATTCCTATAATAATATCATGATACAGAAAGAGTAGAAGTATACTTATCGCATCATATGAAAAGAATGGCAATTTTCTTTTACAACATTACAAAGAAAAGAGTTGGATATACTTGTTGGGAAAAAATTTTTTTCTCTTCTTTTTTTCCTCTTCTTCTTTTGTCTTCTGTCTTCCTCTCTTACTCTGAAAAGGTCTTATTTATGTAGTTTCGTCCGATCGACATGAATAATCCTTTTGCGCTTGCCGTCCAAAATGGTAATGTTAGGTAGATAACAGCAATAATTGGAAAAGGTCCTTCGAATCGTGTCGCAAGTTTATGTCCAGCATCTTTCCTTAAACTTTCTTTTTCTTCAAACTTTCTTTCCTATCTGATATTGTGTCTTTGGGGTCCTTGCTCTCAGATCGTATTGACGTTTCTGTTGATCCTGTGCCTTTATCAAGTTCGAATAGACGTTTTGGTACGTACCCTTCAGAATTTGACAAGATTGCCCACATAATCTTCTGTATCCACATATTTCTTCGTTGGTAACTGAAGCGCTAGGTGGAAGATATTTGTGGGGTCGCAGCCGTGGACAAGGAAAAATGGCTTAAATTTGGTTGAGGCGTTTTCCGCACTGTTGCAAGCGTGAACCACAAGATGAAGAACGTAATCCCAT